GTGCGGGTGCCGCCACTCGCAACAAACAAATAAATAATCAAGTACACACGAATATTTCTGGGAGCGAGAAACATGCAAACTTTCGCAGCAATTTTCGCTCTTTGTGGACTGTTCGTGCACGGTGAGCCACCCTCAATCCTCATGTTTGTGCTTGATCTCTACTCTTGGCTTGGTCCGCGGGTGCTAGCTTTCCAATACTTGTGGCAGCCCGTGTTGCTTCATCTCCGGAACCATCTTCGATCTCCTGCCTGCTCGTCTTCTCACTGCTCAGAGTCGGTTACATCAACGATGCCTTTTTGAATTTCAGGTGTTGATGCGCTAGATTACGGCGCAATCCAACCCGTTTGTCTGTGGGTTTCTGGCCATGGACAAGGTAGTCAAAGAGCTCTCGTCTCAGACCGTGACTCGAAACAACAAAATAATTGGATGAAGACCACTTCTCAAACTAGCGAGTGCACGCGAAAATTTGTTAGAGCGAAAAACATGCAAAACACGAATTTCGCGCGAACGTTCGCAATAGTTTTCGCAACCCGGAACGCGAAAAATCATTGCGAACGTTCGCTCTGCAAAACCTCTCTTCTTTCTCTCTCTATCTCTTTCCATCTAGCTCTCTCTATCTTTCTTTGTATGTTTGGAGGATGAGGCCCGCCGCTCGCAGCTACATACTACCTGAAGTTATTGGTTGCTAACGTCATCAGTCATGTGATTGGTCATGTATGACGACAGCAAGTCTGTCATGTCATGACTGCAGGCCCGTTCGTACAACACACACGCATACACACACACATACACACACACACACACACACACACACCATACACCATGTACCATGCATCACCCGTCGCAAGAGAACCATGCACATCTGAAAATATACTGGATGTGCACCCTCAGATTTTCTCTTATAGCAACGATAGTGGACAAGATCTGAATGAGACAGATCCGGACTTGCGCCAGATAACTGTCCAATCCACACAACCTGCGAAGCCATGTGAATCGACCACCAATGCACACCTGGTCTACACCACACGGAGTACATCGGCATAAAACGGCCAAGACAGTTACCTCTGCACACCCTACACTTGCTGGAGTAACCAGTATAGACAGCATGCTGCTCTAATAGAAGTAGACACTAGATGCACCGGTACCTTGACACACACACACACACACACATACACACATACACACACACACACACACACACACACACACACACACACACACACACACACACGCGCGCACACACGCACACACACCATGGATCATTTGACGCCCATCTCCGGAGGCCATGATAGCGTTGCTACAGCAGAAGCCATAGCAACTTGTGCTGGGATTGCACCATTCAACAGCTTGCAAAGCTGAAGAACTGACCGCCACTATTCAGCCTGGTAACACCACACAGCTATGAAGTTGCTTTTTCTGGCCAGTGAATCCCTCCTTTTTGGTGTTTTTTAATTTTTTTTCGACGCACACACATCACACCACATACTAGTCAAGAGGAGTCTGAGAAAGAGAAGAAAGACATGTGTGACTGTATTTGTCGGATTCGAACACACACACACACACACACACACACACACACACACACACACACACACACACACACACACACACACAGATAGGACATACCTGGCCAAGAGACGTATCGGAAAGACGGAAACGCAGCTCTACCCGCCAGCCCCAAGCTCGCGTCCAGAGGCAACCGCCACACCTGTATTCCAAACAAGAATGGAAAAAAAGTACGACCACACCAAAAACATTTGTCAACGTGCGACCCTGAGATTATGTGCAAACCGTGATCCAGTTCACACAGTTGTCCACAAAATTATGCACGCATGCCTGTGATATGAGTGCGCATTCGATATTGGTCATCACTACTGCAAAATCGGAAAGTTTAACGACCAAAAAGTTTAACGTTTTTGTAATTTTAGCATGATTACGAGCAGAAAGTTTAACGATGGCTTTGCTGGCCACCCATCTGTATGCGCATCTTTACACAGACCTCCACCGATAACGTATTTTTCAAATAATGAAAACAAATTGGTCGTTAAAACGTTAGACTTTGTGTCTCGTTAGACTTTCCGGTTTTACAGATATCACCGTTTTAGGAGCAGTATCTGCGCCTCGATACTTGAAGGGTTGAGGCGTTCCTACGGATGCGGAAAACTCGGCCTCTAGCCGAGTCTGACGAGAACCGTGAAATTTTGTATTATTTTTATTACCGCAATGAATAGAGTAAGCCGCGCACTCAGTACAAACACCATTAGCAAATCTTTGTTTTCATGTATAAAAACTTGTTCCTTGAATGTTTTCATTACCCCCCCCCCCCCTATTTACAGAAAATGAGTAACGAATATTCTTAAACTGTGAGGTTTGCGTACAACGTGTTAACGTTTTCGTCGTACGCATTCCAGTACAATAAGAGTCAAGACAGGGAGCTGGAAAATTTTACTACCACATGCAACGATTTTTTCGTAGATCTGCTCCGTTCCGTCGTGATTGGACGACTCTTCGTAGCAACTTCCGTTACTCGAACCTGGATGGCCAAGACCTTACGAATTCTAGTTGTGCGCAACGCCTCTATTATCATGATTTCAGGGTGAGTGGGCAGACGGTGTTATTACCATGGTGACGGGTGAGTGAGCAGACGGTGTTATTAGAGGTTGCACACAACGAAAATTTGTAGCCAGGTGACGAATATTTTTAACGAAAGAAGCTATTGAATGAATATTCGTAAACCGTGAGGTTGCGCACAACATGTAAACTTATTCGTAGCACATCGACGCGGCGCGCGCGGGTGCTCATAAGGAGAGTCAAGACAGGGAGGGAGTTGTAAAATATAAGTATTTTAGTACTCCGCGTTACGAAAAATATTTTCATAGATCTGCTCTGTTTCGGTCGCGTTTGGACGGATCTTCGTAGCAACTTCCGTTACTAGAACCCGGACGATCAAAATCTTACGAATTTCCTTTGTGCGCAACCTCTCTACATACCATGATTACAGGGTGAGCGTGCAGACTGTGTTATCACCATGGTTACAGGGTGTCATTACCATGGTTACAGGGTGTTATTGCCATGGTTTGAATTCTTACCCATGGGCATTGCGTAGTTGTTGGTCCACTCTCGTGCCGTCCGGTCAAACAGAACACGATCTCGATTATACTCGTTCTCAATAGATGGTACAACTCTATAGTAATGGCAAGCGTCTGGATTGGCTAACATGTCGTAGATCTTAACGAGAATATCGCGAAGAGTCGACCTCGGACTCCATATCCATGAGCTCATGATTGCCAGGTCCATGCTCCCATCACAGTTTACTCCAGGGTGGTATAGTCTTGTGCTGAACCTTACTCTAGGTGGACGGAATGGGTAGTCCTCTGGAAATTGGATGGTCAGGACGAACAACCCACCTTCATACGGAGTATCCGGCGGGCCCGTCATGGCGGCCTGCCAATGCAGCATATCATCATCAACTGGTCCAGCAGAACATTGTATGAGAGGCTCTTGCTGAAGATCGCCAAGCTCTTTCCTGATGCGCTTCAACGCCATGCCAGTGTGCTCTACTATTGTTCTGCTGGCACAATAATACAGTAAATCTTGCCCCAACCAGATGTACATCTACTTGGTGCAGCGGAAATTACCCCGGGCTGATATGATAGGCTTCCGCTTCATCCAGGTGTGCATGTTCCATCAACAGCACTTCAGTCCAAAACACTGATTTGTACGGTGAACACTGGATTCCGCTTTGTACAGCGTCCGGTAAACACAGGTTTACAATTTGCCTCATGACATGAGGCGATAATAGCTCCTTACAACGTTCTCAGTCGTGTTAGTGTACAAGCACACTTGGGGCCTCGAGGACAAGCCGATCACACGTCATTGCCACTCGGTAATAGCTGCTCCTGTAATAACGTCTATTTTTGCTGAATGAAGCTGAGCAGAACATAGCAGCGCACACGCTGCCTAGAAAAATCAGACTTAGCCTTCTCCACACATTTAACTTGTTACTGGTTTGAACTAACCAATAGTCACCGCTAGCTGCTAGCGTCACTGGACTTGGAACACGTCGTTGGACGATAGTTACTGTAAGTAACATTACAATGACTATGACTATTATAATGTAGTTACTAAGCCGGGAACACTACCATGACTACTACAGCATACCATACGACATCGACAACAACATTCGAAGTAAGTCCTTCTCCGAAAAAAGTATAGTAATTTTTTATTAAATTATTTAAAATATAGATTGAGAGATTGAGTATTTCGCTCCTGCTCTTGTAATTGTAGCAGTTGAGCACTCTTGCGTAGGGTAGCCTTTGCTGTTTGCGTTATGCAGCTGTATGCAGAGCTCACTGACTTGCCAGTTTGAGCACTCTGGCAAGGTACGTTCGGGCCTGATTGGAAATTTTTATTTCCATTGCTATCAGGTTCGGCCTCATTTCCTCTGTGCTGCGCTGACGAGTCCACAAAGGACGAAACAGTTCTGTCCGCGGATTGAGTATTAAAATTTTAATTATTATTAATTTTGTTCCATAGACTACCGCGTACCGGTAGTTCTGGAAATAATTCATTTCTTTTCTGTCAGATCGTGGACTAGAACAGTAGAAGTAACAGTTGTAGTAGAACGTAGACTGTTCCAGACATCGGTGATAATGAATCCGACTATCGTTAGGCGAATAAAAGGCGAGATAAAAGGAATGATCGAAAGCCCACCGCCGGGTTTATCTATCAGATCTTCAGAGAATGATCTTTGCTACGTAGATTGCACTATGCAGGCTCCACCAGGCAGTCCGTATCAAGGTGGCCGTTATGAACTGATATACCGCTGGACCCACCATTATCCATTCACTTGGCATTCAGTCCACCAGAAGTGAGGTTCAGGACCAAAATCTACCATCCCAACATTGACAGCCACGGCAACATATCCTTGTCGGTCCTTACTTCTGAATGGCCTGTTGTATATACAATTTATACGACCCTTCTGTCTATCCAATCCATCCTCGATGATCCACTTCTGGATACGCCGCTAGTGCCCGAGATCGCTCGTATCTACAGGACAGATCGTGCGCAGTATAACAAGAATGCAAAGGCATGGACCATAAAGTATGCAATGGGAGGTAAGAAAGATGTTTTCAGGTCGAGTTTGCCAAAGGCGGATCGCGGATAACAACATGTTTGGTCATGGGACAGGGTGGGCACTGATACCTTATTATTTTAATTTATTTGTGACAATCTCCAGGGGTGTAGCTGGACCGCCTTCAGATTCGTTAGAGAGATTAAGATGCACGTTATTTCAGACGTGACGCGAAAGCTCAGCTCGCTTTTTTTGGCTCGCACGTAGAAAAACAACCCGAGTGACCTGCAGCTCACGTCGAAATTAGGAGTTTTACGCCAAATTTGACGTCAAATTGCGTGTCGTAGACCTGGCTAAAATCAGTGGCGGTCAATTCATCAGCCTCGCAAGCTGTTGAATGGTATAATCTTGGCACAAGCTGCTATGTATAACGTAGCTTATTCGCTATCATCGCTTCAGCGATGGGCAGGAATATGACTATAGGTATGAGCTGGTCCACCTTCTAGAGGGGTGCACAGCTGCTTCTTCAAGATATTCTTGCGGGATATGTTTTATTTAAAGTTTGACTATCATAACGTTACGTGCATGTTTGCAGGTGCATGTCATCATGGTCACTACCTGCATGCTGAATCTAGGTCGAAATTTTTTTAGGGAAATGCACGTGCCCCATGCGGGCCACGCGCCTAGTCTCCATAGACTTGTGATCTTCTGTTGGGTACCCTAGCTAGGCCTGGGGACTCAGTGCATGCACTAAAAATACATTATATAATATTATATTACATTGCAGACTCAGCGGAGGACGTTCAGGTTGATTGTAAATCTGAGTTTCATGCCGTTAGGCAATCATCAGACAACTGATACTCGGGTCTACCCAACAGTATGCTTATAAACACATAGGGCCACAAGCATAAACAAATTTAGCACTAAATCTGGTGTGAGGTATGGGGAGAAAGCTGGCGCGGGCCAAGGCGCGACAGTAGAAGTGCCAGGAGGGTGGCGGGCAACAGGCAGGTGTGAGCATGAAAGTGCGGAAAGAGGCAATGGGGAGGCAGTGTACACAAAATGGATGGAGGTGCCAGGAGGACGGCGGGCAACGGGCCAGTGAGATTGCTACAAGTAGGGAGTCGTTTGGTGACGGGCAGGCGTGAGCAGAGTGGCATCGCCAACAACCACACAACAGGCCAAGGGATTGTGTTATTAACAATAATGGGTGCTCAGGCAAAGTGCAGTACAGAAATGCAGGCATGAGAATCAAATTTCACACCTATCAAATGAACTGACCAAGTACTGTACGGCACTTTGCCTGACCACCCATTATTATTAAGAACACAATCCATTGGCCTGTTGTTGGCGATGCCACTCTGCTCACGCCTGCCCGTCACCAAATGACTCCCTACTTGTAGCAATCTCACTGGCCCATTGCCCGCCGTCCTCCTGGCACCTCCACCCATCTGCTGTACACTGCCTCCCCATCGCCTCTTTCCGCGCTTTCTGGCTCACACCTGCCTGTTGGAGGCAAGCTTAAATTGGGTAAACCCTGAAAATGCGAAAAATATTTCAAAAAGTCCTACGGAGACCCCAACGTAGGAAACAGCTTTCCTACGGATATCCGTAGAGAGTTTTACGTATGAAAGTTGCCCTCGCTCCCCGGCGTGTACGACATACGGATTTTCATACGTAATTACGTAGAGCGAAACCTCCCTATTGACCACTTAGGGCCGTTTCACACGAGGTATACATGACTTTTCACGAATGGGCGTTCTAGGCACACTACACAGCGCGTGATTTCACACGAGTGTCGCAACAATGCTTTTCAAGCAGCAGTTGCCATGGCAGCTTTGACCTGCTTCGCACAGAAGTCGTAAAATACGGAATCCGCACGCGAACGCGGGAGTTTTGAACACAAAATAATAATAATTATTATTATTAGTTTGGCAAGGAGAGATGTTCTCTCCCTGATTCTCGTTTTCTTTGATCGCCACAAGGAGAGAAAGATGAACGGACGAGAGAGGTTGCAAAGGATGGCGAGGCGTAGAAGGACTGCATTGCCCTCGCTTGTTCAAAGCTATCAAGGGGGTGATCTCGATATCCAAATTGCTCTCTTTGGCAAAAGCATTGAGTTTCTCGGCGATCTCCCTTTCCCTCGCAATACGCTTCACCATCTGGCCACTTTTTGACTTTTGATAGTCGGCCCACAACTCAATAAGTCTAGCCTCCAGGTCATCAGAGAATATTTGGCGAGGCATTGTCCGAAACGGAAGGCACAACCAGCAACCAGCAATGAAAGCAAACAGAAGCAAAAAAAGCAAACACGACGACAGATCACAATGCAAGGAAAACGAAGTTTGTCAGTAGAACGCTGGGTATATCCTGCTTTCTACACCCCTCCTGGTCTTGCTGAAAACGTATACGATGCGTTTCACATTTCGCGCCAAAAGTGCTCCATCTCCTAGGGAACATAACCGGAAACGTGACATGTACGCGATTTTGTACCTCGTGTGAAACGGCCCTTAGCCCGAGGACTTAGAACTTTTTCCTCAACTTAGAAAAAAATCAGAACTGAAAGAAGAAAAATCTGAAGCCAAATGTAGGGATTTGAACCCAAACTGTCAGATTCTCAGTCAAAGACCTTGGGGAACATAGTACAAGTGACAACTGATCTTGGGGTATTTGCGGGGCTGATATGTCATCACCATGGTATAGCGACTGTATGCAGGTATCTATTGTTTCCTTGAGAGGCACGTTTGTAAAGAGGCTGACTACATCGAAAGAGCACACGCTGTTCCTGTGCTCTTCCATTTTTTCTCATGTTTGTGTTGTTTGTGTTTCCAGGTGATGAAACCTTATCTAGTCTAAAGCAATCAGTGCCTGGATATTTGACAACGGATGGTCTTCAAGATGGGCTTGGTGTACCCTTTATTCGTGTGGTTGTCATCGGAGAAACCGGTGCGGGCAAGACAAGTCTGGTATGCTCTCTCGGTCGCAAGAAGATCCCAACAGGAAGGGCAGACAGTAGCACGATTGGTACGGACATCAACACGTTCATCTTAGACAGTGACAACGCGGAGATGTCACACAGCATCAACGGAGAAGAGGCACTAACAAGGAGAATTGCAACAACCCTTAAAGGCACCGTGACTTCACGTCAGAGAAGCAAAGTGGTGATGGAGAAAGACAGCAGGCTAATCTCTACCTGTAATTCGTCTGCTGATAGTGTTGCTGCTGCTGCTAGTGCGGATGCCAGTCCTGCTGATGTCGGTGCTGCTGCTGATGCCAGCGATAGTTCTGCTGCTGCTGCTGCTGCTGTAAATGAGGCTGACTGTGTTGCTGCAGACACTTATGATGGTCTATATATGTTCACAGAGAGTTCATGCATGGAGGAAGAGCAATCTATTCCATCGCATCTCTTTCCGACCATTGCGGGCACGGTAAATTCACACGATTTCCTCGACTCCGTCAGTAGCAGCATAGCACAACAATCGTTTCAGATCATACGTGTTTGGGATACAGCCGGCCAGGACGCGTATCGATTACTTCAATACATCTCTTTCGGAGCGGACCGTACGTCTTATCTCGTCACGTTCAATGCCAGCCGCCCTGTGGAGATGGAAGTCCCAGAGGCTACGGTAAGGCAGTAAAAGAGAAATACATGTATGTTGGGAAATATCATTTAACAAACGGGCTGAACAGGAGCGTCGGAAGGTATTTTAGGGTGATACGGTCAGCCATCCGAAGTACAATTTACTAGTGGGGTTGGGTGTCTCCTCGAAACTTAGAGCACATATCCGTGCCTCTTAAAAGAAGGTTTACAGGGTACCAGGGGAAAAGAGTGGTACGGTCAAAACACTACTGACTGTATCTTGCCCGACGGCCCTGGGGCAGGAGGGCAATATTATTATGTTTCCGCTTGGAAATATGCACTGCATCCACTACTGGCCCTACAACCCTTTATTTCTTTGCATCTTCAGCTTGCCTTGTCCAACCTCGCGATGATGCTCTTTACAATTCTTCCAAGATGCCATATCACAAGTTGGTTTATGCACCCAGTTTTTTCCTTGCAACTACATGTATGTCCGTTAGTGCGAGGGTTATTTCACGGCTGGCTCTGTCCAGGTAAAATTCTCTCTGACAGTCCCAAGTGGTCCTGCATCACGGCCTTGTGCTAGGATCAGCATACTTACATCTATGCTATTTACTATATCAGACATTCTGGCCTCAGCCCATTCTTAGTTTCACCAAGTTTGAATCTGGCTTTGTAAAAATACCCCTGTATTTGCTTGGTTCCTACGGATACGGACGTGATTTTTTGCTTGATTTTCTCCTGTTCTCTGTGTCTGCATGTCTCTCTGCATGCCAGTAAATGCGGAGCAAGAAGTAGATTGTGGCTGCTGACAATCTATTTTTCATAGCTGATTTAAATAACCGTCTTCTCGTCCATTTTTCCTACGTCCCCATTAATTTCATCAATACCTGTGTTTTTGTACTGTTATGGCGGCTGTTTACCCAAGCCTTGATTTTGTATTGGCTGTTGTTTGTACTGTCATGGGAAACTAAAGGTAAATTTGGAAACGGTATCTAGGAGACACTGGGTCACAAGTGCTTGCGCCGCATTTGACTAGCTATGCAAGATCTTAAGGAGTCAGACGTGTACAATTCAGCATAACGACTAAGAGCACTTCCAAGGGAAGACTTGTGCTCCAGCATTTCTTCTTCACCTTTTGCTGTATGTCTATGCATCTGTTTCTGTGTTTTGTAAATGGTGCAGGTTCGTCATCATGGACAGCATAGGCATTGTGCTGCCGCCGTTCCTGGACAGTCAAGCCTGCTGTATATTCATGATTCCCTACAAGTGCTCAATCATCTGGTGCAGAGCTCCAATATGCGAGTGTTTATCGTCGGCACTCACATCGACTTGCGTAGCTCTTCTCGCCGTTCGCTGCAGAAGGAAAATAACGTGATCATGGACAGCCTTCATGGCAAACGGTATCGGCACTTAGTCAGCGAAGACGATATCTTGTTCGTGAACAACACCTGCTCAGGAAAGTTTTGGCGCAGGGAGGATCCGGGGATCAAGTATCTACGACGCAAGTTGGTTGAAGAGAGCCGCCACCAAGACAAGATACCTGCCGCACGCCTTCTAGAGACATTGGCACTCCAGCAGCTCTCAACAGACCCGGAGCTCACACGCCCCTGGGTATCACGACGTGAGTTCTTCCGGCTGATGTGGCTAGTCGGTAGCATTGGCCGCCCTAGTGAGCTCAACTCAGTATTAGAGTTTCACCACGGCCTTGGAACGACGTTGTTCTACCCGACATCTGACGTATTGCGTGACATCGTCATTGTCCAAGTACCGTGCGTTGTAAAGCTGGCAGCCTGTCTAATCCAGCCGGGTCTTGAGCTCAAGGATTTCACCGAAGATCCACCCACCCGTGAAGATCTGTACTTGTATAAACACGGCTTCATCACAGTTGCCATGGCAATGCGACTTTGGCGAGAATATAGTCCTCCTCGGCTGTATGAGCTAATGAAGAGTGATGAGCAGCGCAAGGTTTTCCTTCAGCTGATGGAGAAGCTGTGTGTGCTGTGTGACGTCGGCGAGATCGACACGGTCACAAGCGGTATCAAGGAGATCTTTCTCATGCCGGCAGTGGCGGAACTCACCTCTATTCCTGTCTTGCACGATGTGCTGGTCTCCGAGGCAATTCTACTGGTGACGCATAACGCTGATCATTTCCCACACGCCATCTTTCTCCTGCTCGGTGTTCTCTGTATCACACGGCACAACAAGCTCCTGATCAACGCCGGTATGAAATGCAGCGCATGGAGGAAGGTTGCTCTGTCCAAGCATTGTATGCGGCTACCCTGGTGCATCGAGAGAGGCGAGTGGATTCTCCTCACCTACATGAAGTGTGGCATCCGTATTCAAATGGAGTCTATCGACCAGAGTCGAGTGTTCGGCCCTGGTGAAGGCACGGAAATTCTGCGTCAGATTCGGCAATGGCTGTCTGAAGTGCAAGCTACAACCAATCTCCGGCTGGACGTGATGGTCAGTGTATACTTGTAGTATTTCACCGATTTAAAATTGCTTTGTTGTTCACTGCGTTTGATGTAGGGCTATGGCCTGCTACTCTGAGCTCTGCTGATGAGACCTATCAAAGTTAGGACAGATAGCTGCACAGATATTGAGTATAAAGTACAAAAAAAACAAGTTGCTTATTACTTACAAAAGTGCGTAATACCACCTGCTCCAGAATAACAATGCGTCTAACGTCAGGCCCACACAAGGGCGATTTTCGGCCGATATGGTAAATTATACGAAAATTGCCTGGTGTGCATTGTGTAATCACACGCCGCAGTTTCTGACAAATTTGTGTGTGTATAGGTAGTCCGACCCAGTCGGCCGATTTCGTGTCGTTGTCGGAGCATTGGCCGAAAACTCAGCCCAGTGTGTGCCAGACATAAGCCTTGTTTCTTTGAAAAATTTCGAGTGTAAATGAATTTTTGTAAAACGCTGTTTGACTTGTTTGAGTGTTGTTGCTTGCGTGGTTTGTGTGAGTGCTTGTGTGTGTCTGTGTGTGTATGCTTGTATGTGTGTGTACGTGTGTGTGCTCTTCTGTGTACGCGTTGGGTGTTTCCATTGCAGGAGGCAGCGGCATGTGGCTGTGGCAGTGTTCTCCTGTCACAATCAAGCTGGACATACACCTGTCTACAATACAATATTGTGAGCTAAACTAAAAAAGTGTTTTATTGTGTATGAGTATGTTTGTATGTGTGTGCATGTGTGTGCACGTTTGTGTGTGTGCGTGTGTGTGTGTGTGTGTGCATACAGGATGAACACCTGGTACTGCGCGCCTCCCTGAGTCAAGACGCTGTGTCTGCAGGTGAGGAACTGACACGTTGAGAGCAGTACTGGTGGCAATGTTTGGGTATCGAGTTGTTTGAAGCGCACAAAACTCATGTGCTACCGTAAAAGTCCGTAAATAAGTACCTGCCCGAAAGAAATACCCCCTTCATTCTTTTGGCTCTGTCTGTTAAAGTCAAGTCAAGCCCGATAAACATACTGCCCGAAATAAGAACCGGTACGGTGCGCACATGCAGCACGTAGAATGTACGTCGACATGAAAATGACTTCTCCACTACACACAAGTCAGGTCCGAAAGTCAGTTCGTGCCCGAAAGTCAGTACCCACCTGAAAGTTAGTACGGGTGTGGTCCCTAAATTCGAAAGTAAATACGTACTTATTTACGGACTTTTACGGTAATGTTACAGCCAGCGATTGAACGGCTGTACACCTGTAAAATCATGTTCATTGTTATCGTACAAACTCCGTTGACATATTCCCATACGAGACCAGGGCAATCATAAAAGTGAGAATCTCTGTTGCCATGATGCCCATAGGTATAAAACTGCAAGCGGTACCATTCGGCTGAATAATATGAACAGCTGGCATATTGCCCTCATAAACAGATCATACAAGGGTCATGCATCTGTCAATGATCGTTAACCAGAGTTGCTTGTTGGTGGCGACATTGAGACATTCCTGAATCGGTACATTCAGAGGCTTGAGGTTTTCTTTGACATTGTCGACCCATCGATCATGCGGTCGTCCACCGGGGCGCTTGGTGTCCGAAATATTGAGGGCTAGCTGCAGTGCTTTGTAAGAGTGCCGTGTCTGGTCCCTCCTGGGCAACGTGCCCCAGGCACAGGAGGCGGCACTCCTTTCAGGTTTGCGAGATGGGGGGGCTTGGTTGGTTTTTCTGTAAATATCCTTGTTGGAGATGTGGTGAGATGTTGTGAGGGTGGAAAATGTTCATAAGATATTGAAGCTTGCGACGATGCCATGCATCCAGGCGATCTTCCAGCTTCTTCATTAGTGTCCCAAGGCCACAGATGTGCAAGAGTACAGGCAAAATCAAAACTTTAAACGTGCATAAATGAGATTCAATATTGATTCAAAATTGAGATTCAGCTGTTCAATAATTCGAAAAATCTCTCTTCTCCTCAATACGATCCCAGTCAATATGTTGCTACCTTTGGTAGCCATAACAGAAACCAAAAACTCCGAAGATTTTTTCGGGAATCCTGTCACCCAGCATTACATGTAGGAAAGTACCAGCAAAGGTGGTGTGTTACGACTTCACCTATCGTTAATTGCAGAGCTCACCAAGTATGGCATGTAGCGGTAGTAGACGGGTTATGATATCAGGGTCCGCACCACTCCTTGAATTCCTTGAAAGTCCTTGAATGTCAAAGCCGGATTTGAAAGTGCTTGAATATCCTTGAATTTTCGTGTGGGTGCTTGAATTTTTGAAAAAAAGTGTGTTTTTCCTTGATTTTGGGTTTGAATGCGGTAGATCTACTCACGTTCATGCAGTAGGTCTACGCGCACTGCTGGGTACCCGTAACCGGTACCGTAGTCCGTAGATCTAGTACCAAGAGTGGATCCACTCTTGGTAGTACTGATAGGGATCTCAGCGCGTGAGCTGCGCAGCCTGTTTGCGCAGGTGAGATTTTCGATCCCAAACGCGTCCAGTGCAGAAACCCTGAAAAATAACATTTTTTTCGAAATAAATCAAGTTGAAGAAGACGGTAGAAATGGCTGAATATTGCGTCCAGGAAAGCACGTTCTACGGCCATTTCCAAGCTACCTATCTCCCAGGCACTCTCTCAGAGGAACTATGGAGGGTCAAAGAGACCAATAGTTCACTCTTGGATGCAGCGTGAACACCTCTTCTTCTGAGCGCGATGTCTTCTCTCTGAGTGATAATGGCGGCGATGTTCCAACCAACGGTTAGCCCACCAACTAATGTCCTTGAATGTCCTTGAAAAAATGGGGTTTGGGGCCCTTGAAAACCCTTGAATAATATTTTCATGACTTGGTGCGAACCCTTGATATAAAGTTTGAACATTGGACTGGAATGGTCGACATTGCGTAATGAGTTCTTGACGGATGCATGTTGTTGTTCTGTTCCTCTCTCTCTCTCTCTCTCTCTCTCTCTCTCTCTCTCTCTCTCTCTCTCTCTCTCTCTCTCTCTCTCTCTCTCTCTCTCTCTCTCTCTTTCTCTCTCTCTCTCTCTCTCTCTCTCTCTCCCTCTCTCTCCCTCTGTCTCTCTCTCTCTCTCTCTCTCTCTCTCTCTCTCTCTCTGTCTCTATCTCTCTCTCTCTCTCTCTCTCTCTCTCTCTCTCTCTCTCTCTCTCTCTCTCTCTCTCTCTCTCTCTCTCTCTCTCTCTCTCTCTCTCTCTCTCTCTCTCTCTCTCCCTCTCTCTCCCTCTGTCTCTGTCCCTGTTTGTCTGTCTGTCTGTCTGTGTCTCTCTCTCTCTCTGTGTCTCTCGCTGTCTCTCTGTCTCTCGCCCTCCCTCCCTCACTCACTCACTCCCTGTCTCTCGCCCTCCCTCCCTCCCTCCCTCCCTCCCTCCCTCTCTCTCTCTCTCTCTCTCTCTCTCTCTCTCTCTCTCTCTCTCTCTCTCTCTCTCTCTCTCTTCTCTCTCCCTGTAGTTCAAACTGGATTCCAGTCCATCAGCTATGTGCATGACATTCACCCGTGGCTCTGCAGTCTGGAAGCAGTTGATTTAAGAGTTGCTGTTCAGCGAGAGGGTCTACTGACTCTTGACCAAGTACATCGTCTGGAGGACGTCCGAAGCACACACGGCAAAGAGCGGCACAACAGAGATGTGTTGTGCATCGTGGAGCCGCAGGGCATTGACGGTTTCATCAAGCTCTACAACGGTCTATCGAGAGAATTCGCCAGCATTGGTGAAGGTCTGCAGATGATGAAAGCTGTGGTTCCCGTCGATCAACATGCTCGTCTGGAATCCTGAATGAAACGTTCTAACGTTAGGAGGACGTCAAGACAGTATAGTTGTGTATAGGACTTGAGGAGATATCGACAAGTCTACTCTAGCACTGCTACATGTACCTGTAAGTCAACGCTAGGTTGTGTCATATGTTTGATGCGATCACGTGTATTCCATTGAGATATTTGTAAGATGATCAGCCAACCTGTGAACATGTATCTATACTTTGTCTATACTTTGTCTATAGTGATTCTCTAGTCGTCAGCAACGATATGGGTATTGTGGCGTAACGAGCGCGTATATATTTTTATTTATTTAATTAATTTACGATTCCCGAGTTGTTTCCTATGTTGATAAATACACATCATACGATACCATGCATAGGTATAGCTGCAATGGAGTCCTCAACTTCATTCTGCCGACTCCCAAGTTGCTTTGTTTATGCCTGAGAACAGAGATTCGACTTAGAAGAAGGACACAATTCAGGTTCGAGTATTATTCTGGTATCTGACACAGTATTTGTTTTGTCTCTTAGGAAACTGTCGACAACCGTGGTGCTCACATTCCTGCCTTGATCTTTTGAGAGAACCGTTTCCAATTTGAACTTGAACACGATTTATTATTATTCAGTGACTATTTTGGAAGAAGTATTGGGGTAATGTGACTCAGTCCTCAATACATTTTAGTTGCGTGCACTTTTACTTGGTCTGTATTGTATTATATTATTTTACTTTGGCATTCCCAACAGACCCTAAGGTCTTCTTACAGGGTGCCCAATCTAAAATTTCAATCTTCAATACCAGGTCAATGTTGAAATGAGCGTGATTGGTTCTATGTTACCATGGTAACTGTGTAGCCGCTTTGTGCTGTGTGCAATGTGAGCCATGAATACGCTATCAGTATCAGTCAGAGGATGTAGACTAAGACATTAAACACAGTACAGTAAAACCGGGTATAAGCTGCCTGCCATGTGAAGATGCCGAGACCTCTGGTCGGTTGAGCATGGCAAGCCCCACCAGCACTATCTCACCCCATGCTAGCCCCATGCATGTGCCTGCCGGTGAGTTGTGCATTTTGAAAAAAATAAAAAGCGACCTCTGGGTTTAGCGACCACCTGCTCCTAACGACCGTTTTTCCACGCACCGACAGTTCTACACAGACACTGTGGGACCTGGTTCTAAAGACCACCTGGCTTTAACGACCGCCTTTGCTTGCACCGTGGGCTGGTCGCTTAAACCAGGTTTTACTGTAGTCTTAACTGGTTATCTGGTGTTTATCGCCGGCTGATCATGCATGATTGGCAACATTAGTTCCATGCGTTGTAACTAGCGATGAGTGACGAAATTCACGACCCTTGGCCGACCCTTGGCCGGATAATCTGCATGGTGTGTTTGCTGTATATTCATCTCCAGCCAGGCGGATCACTGAGGGATACCGGATTGCTTATAGGTGATAACAAGAGTCCATAAAAAAGAATATGCAACTGTGGTTATGGGTTCGTGTGCGGCATGCTGCCTTCATTACGTAACTTGCCGCGCATCTCGCCCACAGAATAGAGATCACAGTCACATACTCTTGGTTATTGACTCATGTTTATACATGTAATGTGAAACCGGTGGAAGTTCATTGCGACTGAGGCTCCCGTACGTGCCAGCTCAATGCATGGTTCTCCTGCGTATGCATGCACTGGTTTTCAACACAGGCACCACACATACATTAACAATACAACACTACGCGACTGGTCACACACACACACACACACACGCATGTCCAACTAGTCTGAAGCGTCAAGCCTCTAACCACACCACACCAGTCACGGTCATCAAGCCATGAACGACATTCAGTAAAACCTGTCATGGAGACCACTCGGATAAGGCGACCAACTGTCCAAGGGGACCACTACCACCAGGACCAAAGGTTGTCAATTTCAGTCAACTGACCCTGTATAAGGAGCCCACCTGAACACAGCAACCACATTTTGAAGGTCCCTTGAGCGGTCGCCTTAGACAGGTTTCACTGTAATTACAGCAGTCATGATCATCAAGCCACCAACCAAACTACAGCAGTCATGATCATCAAGGCACCAACCAAACTACAGCAGTCATGATCATCAAGCCACCAACCAAACTACAGCAGTCATGATCATCAAGCCACCAACCAAACTACAGCAGTCATGATCATCAAGCCACCAACCAAACTACAGCAGTCATGATCATCAAGCCACCAACCAAACTACAGCAGTAGTCACTGGAATAGTGTCTGACACGCTGCACACAATGGACATGCCAGCAGTCGCAGAATATAATCTCAAGTTTTTCAAAGTGTTAAGCTAACAGCCGCCCGCAGCCATTCTACATCAACATGGGATCCAGGCAACAGTTGGTGAAATGCAGAAGATTTATGTGAGCTGTATTGTAAGCAAAGATTTGGTCAAAACACGAAGAGTTCAACGAACCCAGATTTTAGCTTCCAAGCAAATCACTTCGCTGCATACGTCACTATGTGTTAACCAAATTTTCCAGCAAGTCAGGGTGAAAGCAAAAAGATGATCCGTCAGACGATAGGAACGGAATGAAGATCTCCAGTGTAAAATAATAATATCACCTGTCTCCAGGGCATCGTTTTCGCCATGGTGATCAAGAGTTGCAGGCCAGCACATTTGGCACAGCCAATACACACCATCACAGCGAGTACAGCCAGCGCAGTCAATACAGGCATCACAGCCATCACATCGGGCACAGCCAGTGCTCCTAGCACAGCTATGACCAGATCACAGCCAGCGCAGACAATACAAGCATCACAGCCATCACATCGGGCACAGCCAGTGCTCCTAGCACAGCTATGACCAGATCACAGCCAGCGCAGCCAATACAAGCATCACAGCCATTGCATCGGGCACAGCCAGTGCTCCTAGCACAGCTATGACCAGATCACAGCCCGCGCAGCAAATACAAGCATCACAGCCATTGCATCGGACACAGCCAGTGCTCCTAGCACAGCTATGACCAGATCACAGCCAGCGTAGCCAATACAAGCATCACAGCCATTGCATTGGGCACAGCCAGTGCTCCTAGCACAGCTATGACCAGATCACAGCCAGCGCAGCCAATACAAGCATCACAGCCATTGCATTGGGCACAGCCAGTGCTCCTAGCACAGCTATGATCAGATCACAGATAGCACATCCAGTGCATCCAGTGCATCCAGAACAGCGAATATAACCAGCGCTCCTACGAGAACAACCAGCACACATGACATAGGAGCAGGAGATATCCAACTGACCCGCCAGAGCAGGAGATATCCAACTGACCAGCCAGAGCAGGAGATATCCAACTGACCAGCCAGAGCAGGAGATATGCAACTGACCAGCCAGCATAGGCAGGAGAGATGGTGAAAAGCATGTACATACCCAGCCTCTAGTCGCATATGAAGAGTACACCACTGTGGAGAACAACAAAGAACATGACATGCACAAAGAAACACATAGAGAGCTCATCAAGAGGGATGAACATCGTGCCACTAGAACTATGTCAAGCGAATCAAATTGTTCTGTATATCACAGAAAATTGAGTTACGTAAAACAAAACAATCATAATAATTATTGTATGGACGTACCATCATCGTCCGGCGAGTAAAAAGTCCAGCAGAAACGCTGTGCATTTGTGTCCAGGAATCAAACTGCCAGACATTGAAAATAGGGACTTACTTGAAAATTCTCTTCAGCCTGTCTCTTTGTCGGTGTCCTGTAGTCCAAATAATGTCGAGAACATCAGCGCAGGTCCAGTCGCGATCCGCACGAGCGAGATATTCCAAAACGCCACGCACATTGCTGAGGGACGGCTCGCCAAAGTTGTGCTCTTGGATGAGGTCGATCAAGATTGTCTCGAATTCTCCGACGTACTCACTGTCACTGAGCTTGACGGCCTGATGAGCAAACAACTCTGGATGCAATAGACAAGCAAACCAAGAGTTACGCACACACATACACAAGCATGTATCATGAACACGCATGACACACACACACACACACACACACACACACACACACACACACACACACACACACACACACACACATTTGCGGGTGCACAAAAGGACGCATACTCACGCACGCACACGTGGGTGTATAAACACACAACACGCACACATTCGTTACAACAGATACAAGAAAGCACACGTTGACGTTGAATCACCATATGCATAGAGGTAAAACAAAGAAAAAATAAACAGGAGAGCTTACCAAGAATGGAAAAGCATTCAAAATTCCCCCGGCATCAGCAAGCCTATCCGCATGCCCATCAGCAAGCCTATACGCATGCCCATCTCCATGCGGGATACGTGACCAAGTCAATAGAGTCGGCGGCAGACTCTGATTTTATCTGCTACCACCTCCAGATCGCCCCACATCGTACACAGCTGGAGGGAGAAGGTGTGCTCCTCATCCTTCTCTCCATCATTCTGTGAACCCTTCCACATATATGCCACATGCCACTAGGCCACTATAGAATAGCCACTGTGACGTCAAAGACCCCGCTCGCATGTACACACTACACATCCATAGACCCCCACCAGCCAGCACAACCACCAACACAGTAAACACAGTATAGTGTTTGCGACAAGATATGTTTGAGACTGGCTTGTGAAGTTCAATTTTTGCAATGTGACGCCTCTCGCAAGATCAAAAAATACCTCCACATCAGGAACATTTCTCGTTTCACAGTATCTCGCTTCTGTCCACTGTCACATCAATCACTGTCACAAATAACAACATCCGTAGAAGCAGCATTATCACTATCATCAGCCACCGCTTCTGCCACCACCGCCACAACGATCAGCACCACGAACACCATCAACAACAACACCACTCCATCCCCGAGAGTACAATGAACCACAACCGCCACCGCCACTACCACCGCCACGCCACTACCACCGCCACGCCACTACCACCGCCACGCCACAACCACCGCCACGCCACTGCCACCGCCACGCCACTACCACCGCCACCTCCACGCCACTACCACCGCCACGCCACTACCACCGCCACGCCACTACCACCGCCACGCCCACCGCCACCGCCACGCCACTACCACCGCCACGCCACTACCACCGCCACGCCACTACCACCGCCACGCCACTACCACCGCCACCGCCACGCCACTATCACCGCCACACCACTACCACCGCCACGCCACTACCACCGCCACGCCACTACCATCGCCACCGCCACGCCACTACCACCGCCACGCCACTACCACCGCCACGCCACTACCACCGCCACGCCACTACCACCGCCACGCCACTACCACCGCCACCGCCACGCCACTACCACCGCCACCTCCAACAACATGACCAGTGTTGGTATAATTCTTGCTTCATAGTTTAACATGTTTTCGATTTCGACAGCAGGTTACAAGGCAAGGACGCACAGTGTTCCTGACTACAACCATAACCCGGTTGTTGGCAGAGTCCTGGTCTTGCCAGCATTCGAATGACCAGTACAATACGTACCTCGTTGTTCATCGTTTAGTTCCTTCTTCAAACGGTTAGCCAAGTCGAAACGATCAGCTTGCCGCAAAGTCTTCTTGCTAGAGCATACAAACAAACATAAACAAAGGACCGCAAAGTGATAACAATTGGTTTTAGAGATATTGACCCAAAGGCCCCAATGCCCCAGCTACATCCCTGAACGAGGCTAGGGCCCTCTCAGCACCAGCATGCGTGACCGCAAGCAGGGACAGATCACCAGCAAACTGACACTCAGTTAGCTAAACTCTGCGATGCTCTGCCAATCTGGCATTGAAAGCTGAAATGCCGCGCTTTCCGAAGCTGGGCGAGTGTAATCCTTAGCGCATAATCACCAGCAGAAATATCTCTCAAATACGCGCAAGCAGGTCTCCACCCACACGAATACTGGCAGTCATGTCGCTATGGGAGGAATGAATGATGGTGAATAGAAACTCTGGGACGCTCCACCCCCCCACCCCCCTCCCCTCACGGAGCCACACATAAGGTACACCCACACACAAGTACACACCCACACCAACACAGAGACACACACACACACACATAGATACCAACTTGTACCTGTATTTCCATTCGGTAAGATCGTCAGGAGCTGGTGTTGATGGTGGTGATGGGGATGATTCTGCTGCACTGACGGATGCTGAACTAGCTATGTTGGGTAGACACACAATACCATAATGTCCAGGATCCTGAATAAAAACACCACACATACAATACCATAGTGAACAGGATGTTGGATAACAACACAACACACAATACCCTAATGAACAGGATCCAGGACACAACTTTGCTTAGTTTTCCCCCTGCGTCTGTCATCTGCACGGATGGTACGGCTTTCATGTCCCATCGGACTCCTGACAAAAGAGCAGTGTAAAAACTGGATCCACTACAGGAATTTGAGTACGGATTATGCTACGAGTACGAGGGGTTTACGACAAATATTTTCCCGGTCACGTTAGCACAAGGGAAAATACGAGGGACACGGTATACACAGAGTACGACTGGTATAGTCCATTTACTGTAGTGTCTTGTATTAAAGCCTGTCTCGTATAGAAGCCTGTTTCGAATACAAGCCTGGTTTATAAGACACACTGGCAGCACAAAAGCCTGGTTTCAGTGTTGACACCCGTAGAAATACCCGGTTTGAATAGAAGCCTAGCACTGACAGCGGCTCCTACAGGAATAAGCAGCCCGGCTTTAATACGCGGCATTACCGCATCCCATGTTCCTGCCAAATAGAGAGCGTGACTACCCCCTCCCCCCCCCCCCCCCCCCCCCCTAAGTTGCCTAGTTTACTCTTGTCAGTGACCCATGTGAACCACGCGGAGTATATCTTTGAACAAGGCGAACCCAGCAGGGTACTGATATATCACTGAACATACCTGGCAGAGAACGGCCGCTAATTTGCGGAAATCACCCACATCGTACTGTACCATGGGATAATATTGTTGCAAACACCGAACGACAAGCCACAAGGCTCGTTTATGGCGACTCTTGAGTTTCATGCAGTGTGCATTCAAGAGGCAACATAAAGATACTGCTGTACAATACGGTATACCAGTGGCTTTAATGCAGACATAATTACGTCAATCACACACACAACGCATACCTGTTGCCATGACTTCCAGAACCGGAGAGCGTCTTGGGAGACAAGCTGAGGTGCGGTGCGTCCTTCAGTATATGCTATCGGACACATGGGGACATCGCCGAGCTTCAGAGCGGCAACGGTGTGAAAGCACTGCTTTGCAGACAAACCACCGCCAGAAGCAGCAGTAACAGCAGCGGTACCAGAGGCCGCAGAAACAGCAGTGGGGCCAGTAGCTGTTGGGCCAGTAGCGGTGGGGCCAGTAGCTGTGGGGCCAGTAGCTGTGGGGCCAGTAGCTGTGGGGCCAGTAGCTGTGGGGCCAGTAGCTGTGGGGCCAGTAGCTGTGGGGCCATCAGTAACTGCGGTAGTGGAACGAGTAGCCATGGAAACATCGGTGTCAGCGGTAGGATCACTGGCAGCCCTGGTAGCAGCACTGGCACCCGCAGGGACAGTGTTCGCCGATGGAGATGACGCGGAGCAGTTTTCGCGTCCATGTAGTGTACAGAGTACGTCCCTGTTCATCGCACCACACTCACATCTCAATAGCTCCTGTACAGTGAACAACACAACACACAACACAAACACACACATACACACAAACACATAAACACACAACACACATACACACAACACACATACACACAACACACATACACACAAACACACATACACACACATACACACATACACATAAAGAATGATTAGTTACCGGGGTAGATGTGTTTTGAAATTTCAAAAAAAACGTCAACTATGCAACGAAATGGCATTGGGATGGGCAAGAAAATACTAACAAAAACAGACTGGCATACTGACAGAGAGAAAAGACAGCTACAGGCAGCAAGAGAATTTTGCAAGGAATGGGGAGACAGAGACAGACATACAGACCTACATAAAGGAAGAGAGAAAGACGGACAGACAGACAGAGATAGAGATGGATAGACAGAGAATGACATAAAGCCCTGACACAGGGGTGAAAACATCGCCGCAAAAGTGATTTTTGATCACCTATATCTTGATGAGGATCGAGTTTTCGGCTAAAGCGATTATCACCAGGTACTCAATTTAATTGAATGAGTGCTAAGTTCCTCTCTTCTGCAAAAGAACAATAGCAGATCAGAACAGAATGCTGAAGCCACTAATGCTAGACCAGTGAGAATCGCAGCTTTCCATCGTGGATATCATTATCAGGTTGTAAGTGGCCACGTCTGACTGATTCCAGCATTAGAGTGGCTGAATGGGAGCTATGCATAATCTTCCCGCCGTTTTGGTTTCGCGGGTCAAGTGACTCAAGTCCACTTCAACCGTATGAACTGTGATACCAGCAGCCATGCATATCAGCTCATGAACTGCGTACGGTCATACTCACACATGCACTAGAGCTGGCTGGACCTGCCAAATATGGGACAAATTGCCCTGCAAAAAGCCTGTGGCCATTTTTATGCATAGGTGGCATCAAGAGACCATAACCCCAAGAGTGTGCAACTCTGTACATGGGGATACGTGCGGCGGAATTCCAACATTACGTCAAAGATGACGTACACTTTGGTTGCGCTTGCCCTACTCCCTACTCCCTGCTTCCAAGCACCGCGGAATGTGGAATGCGGAGTTTTATCCTCTGCGCCTCAGCGGCACGACGTAATGTTGGAATTCCGCCGCGCAGTGGGCCTACAGCAGCCAGACCCCAGTTGCACACTCTGGGGGGGGGGGGGGTATGGACTCTTGGTGGTACTGATCAGCACATTCCATAACTATCAACGACGAGTATCATGTTAAGGCTGCAACCACACTAGGTACAAAACTGCGTAAATGCAACTTTTCTGCTTATGTAGTCAAGGAAACGTACTGCGTTTCCTTTCAGCAAACCGGGTACCCCTGTAGAAAGCAACTTTTCGCCATTTCCTTGCGATTTGTTCTCAGACCCAGAAGTGAAGACAAAACGCTCAAGGATTCCTTGCGCATGAAATGCCAGTGTGGATGCGACTTTGCGTTATCTAAAAGCTGAACGCAAACGCGTACCGTATTTTTCGGAGTATAGTGCACACCTTTGTATAACACGCACCCCCAATCTTCAGTGGGGGTGCGCACTTCAATCTTCATAGAAGTACATGCATTTCATATTCGGAGCATAGTGCTCACCTGCGATCTAGGGCCTAAAATAGCACATCTAAAGTGCGCACTATACTCCGGAAAATACGGTACTTGATTTTGTACGTAGTGTGGTTGCAGCCTAAGTGGTGGTGGCAACTGAAATCCGACAACAGCTCACAATGCAAAAACCCAGCACCCAATTATGGACTAAGCAATAGAGACAGCTGTACCCAGCACCCAATTATGGACTAAGCAATAGAGACCGCTGTAGTCGGTGCTGCACTCTAGCACGAGATCAGGGGTCGGATTCCAGTTGCTATCGATGTACAACCATAATGAGTTAGTGATGACAAATTATTGATCGTCATGATCGTTTCACCTGAACAGCAACAAGAAAGCCAGTTTGGAGGGTGGCTAGAGAGATATGCAATAGGAGAAAGGGAAAAAAGACAAGTGCACAGGGATGGGGATGGGGGATACAGGGGGTGGGGGTAAAGAGCATTTTCATACATACCTTGAGTTTGATTTTCTTGTGCGCTACTGCGAGGACGTCTTTCACCCAGACATGGATCTGGTTGAGGATAGGGACACCTTCACCACTGCCAAACTCATAATGCAGGCTGTTGGCCTCTACGCAGATGCTCACACCACATTTCATGTAGCGTAGAATTAGCCACATATGATTGGCCAACGGTAGACGCATGCAGGTCTTGGCTAGTGCCGTATTCAACCACGAATAGTTTGCCTTCCTGACACATTCAGCATTGTAGTGCGAAAGACAGCGAGTGCCGATTCTCAGGAACATGGAGTGTGGTAAATGTGTGCCGCTAGCTGAAGAGAGAATGATCTCTGGCGACACGGCACCAGCTGCGGCGGGTAGCTTATAGCGCTCAGCTGCTGCTGGCATCCAGAACATCTCCTTCGCGATGTGCTCGGCGACAACTCCATCGTTGTCGACATCGCTATCATCATCATCCTCCGAACACACCTCACCGACGTGACAGAGTACGTCCAAACTCGTCATCAAGTCGTAGAAGAACTGGCGATTCTCCCCTTTCATCATCGCCGGATACAGATGGGGGCAGAACTTCTTCCACAGGCATATAGCCACGCTGTTGGAGATAAAGCCTCGTTTCAGTCGGTGAACATCTTGCAACGACACCTCACCATCTAGGTCTGCTCTTGTAAGACTTGGCTGTAGGAGTGCGGCTGCCAGTTGCATGACGTTGGGAACGTCAACAATAACCCTGTCACGTAGCTTACTGGAGTCTGGGTAGTAGAGCGCGGTTCCGATAGAATGCTGAAATGACAGGTTCGCCTCCACGCTCACTGGTTCCCGTGACCGAGCGTTGATGCGGTGCATCAGCTCCTCAATTTCAACACGTGTTATCCATGGCGTTTCCAACGCTGGATGACTGGATACCTCCATGATGGCCAATGTCTCAAGCAGGCGAGCAGTAGGTATCGGATCTTGACGCTCACTCTCCATACACAGCTGCTGTCTCAGCGTTACTAGCTGTTTGTCCTCAGGAATATGCCTCCGGCCGGAAACTGTGTTATCGATGAAGAAGATGTCTTCTTTCTTCAGCAGGTTACGGAATGGCTGGCAGGCAATGCTCCGGATGATCTCATGCCGCTCCTCATCGAGTTCGGCCTTGAAGGCATCGTTGTCGAGAGCAACTCGGCTCTGTCGCTCGTCGATATGACAACCGGCTAGGAAAACTCGAGCACTCTCTCCATCCGGTACGTTGTCGTGTATGGTTTCCAGTGCGTCGTGGATGTACGTTAGGCTCGGCTGTCCAGGAAGCGCAGTGCTACATGGACGACATTCACCATCTTTACGAACCTGCAGTTAAAGGGGAAGTATACCCTAAAATCAAATTTTCACCAGTTGTAGTCTTCGGGGTGCTGAGTCGAATGGTCTTGGTCCGAGGAAGCTGAGACGCTCCCTTCCTACTTGAATCCCAATCGAACTCGCGCACTTCCACCGAAACTGGGTGACTGCGCCCTACTAGATGGGGATTTGTATGCAAAATGTCACTAAAAGCGCCATTTCGTTCTTATAAAAGCACGGATGACCGCCATTGGCCCATATGTTGTAGTCTTTTGGACGCTGAGTCGACTGGTTTTGGTCCGAAAAGGCTGGGATGTAGCGTTCCTCCTTTATTCCCAATCGAACATGGTTGAACAAGCGGTCACGTGCTTCTGCGTACACCAGTCACCTGGTCACCGTGCCTGCAGGGTACAACTTACTAGCCTGTTTGACCTTTTTTGGGTGCAGTCCTGTCACTCGAGTTGAACTCGAGTTGAACCTTGGTGTGAAAGTTGTCACCTGCTGGCGTGGTGACCAGGTGATTTGGGCACCCAGGAGCACGTGACCGCTTGTTCAACCATGTTCGATTGGGAATAAAGGAGGAACGCTGCATCGCAGCCTTTTCGGACCAAAACCAGTCGACTCAGCGTCCAAAAGACTACAACATATGGGCCAATCGCGGTCATCCGTGCTTTTATAAGAACGAAATGGCGCTTTTAGTGACATTTTGCATACAAATCCCCATCTAGTAGGGCGCAGTCACCCAGTTTCGGTGGAAGTGCGCGAGTTCGATTGGGATTCAAGTAGGAAGGGAGCGTCGCAGCTTCCTCGGACCAAGACCATTCGACTCAGCACCCAGAAGACTACAACTGGTGAAAATTTGATTTTAGGGTATACTTCCCCTTTAACCAGCACAGGGAGAAGTTGAGAAGAACAGCGAAAAAAAACAGGAAATAATGTCAAGGTTGTTATTGGACACAATCATAAGCCTCGAATTTTCTCATAAAATCCTCATAAACTCATTTCCCTTATTGACCAATGGTCAAAGTAGGAACACATATTTAGCTGCAACTGCCGTAATAATGGCTGCCAAAAATGACTAAATCCGGTTATAAAAATCGTTGGGAGGTAAACAAGATTATAGAGGTACTATGAAGACAAACGATGAAAACTTGAAAAGCAGCCACAGCTATTCCAAGTCATATCCCTTATTTCCCATTTTCTCTGTAGTGCTCCTGCTCATTTTCTGTTTGGCGAGAAAGAGCAGTGCTGAAATCGAGACCCCTGGTCGGTTTAGCTGCTCTTGCCCCTCCTCCACTGCTTCGGCTTCCATCGCTATGTGCATCTCTGTGCGTTTTTGCCGACGTTTGCACCATGATAGATTGTGGTTATCTTGTAAAAAAGAAATTTAATACATAATTACACAGTTACACAGTGTCTGCTCTAGGATTTCAAACCAACCGGGTACACGTGTACCTGGCACAACTCTTCCAACTGGGTCAGAGGCGGGTACGTTCAAGTGCGCCTATTGGATGCACATGTACATCAGGGAGCTGTACAGTATTATGACTCCCTGGTGTACATATTATGACTCCCTGGTGTACATATTATGACTCCCTGGTGTGTATTCCCAATAGGGTCACAGGTGACCCGGTGTTCTTTTTCCAAACGGGTCCAAGTACCCTCCAACCGGGTCGCTGACCCGGCTGTCCCGGCTCTGGAGCAGACACTGCAAATAACAAGATGTTCTGCACTCTGCAGTGTTACAGGTGGAATCCTGATAATTCGAATCTGGCTTAATTCGAACATACCGCTTAATTAAAAGTTTTTCCAGGACCGATTTCTATCACCACGATTCCCACATAGACATTTCTGATAATTCGAACCTCGAACTGGATATGTCCGGTTAATTACAAGTCCCGCAGATTCCACTTACATAGAAAATGTGTGGGGTTTGTGCTGATAATTTGAAGTTCACTGTACATTAGAGAGGTTAAGATGCACGTTATTTCCGACGTGACGCGAAAGTTCAGCTCGCGTTATTTGCTCGCACGTCGAAAAATCAACGCGAGCGACCTGCTGCTCACGTCGAAATTTGGAGTTTTACGCCAAATTTGACGTGAAATTGCGCGTCACGTCGGAAATAACGTGCATCTTAACCTCTCTATTGTACTGGTTAGTTCAGTTTGCATGACCAGGCAGCGCTGGTCAGTTCAGTATCCATGAAGTCTGTGTCTAAGATTCATTACGCAACTCTGCGTGACCATGAGAGCATTTTGACATACATATTGTGTTCTCGGTTCATGTTTGGATAATTAGAATGTCCGGATAATTATAAGTTTTTTCCTGGCATTTTGAGGTTCAAATAATCAGGATTCCACCTGTAGTACAAACTTACTACTCCAAGAAAAGTGCAGGCAATTCTTCGCACCACTTACATTGCTATGATCAGCTTGTTCCTTGACCGAGCGCTTGGCATTGTAGACGATAATGTAGGATGTACGCCTAGCACCGAAGGTCATGTGATGAAGAATACGATAGGAATCTTGCCCGGCGGTGTCCCACAAACGCATCACCTTTAGGGACTTCTTCACGATCAGCTCGCTAAGATGATGGACGTAATGCTCCGATGTCACTTTGTCCGTGATTTCTTCCAGAGCACTCTGGTGAAGACTTCTGGCTCGACTTGATTCCCTGGTCACTGCACTCTTGCTATCATCCTTGCGGTGGCACTCTGCTTGCTCAGTGTCCTCAGCAGCTGCCAATTGGGACGTGCTGCTCGTGTGACTTGTACACGCTATCGGCGACGGTGTGCAAATGGTTCCCATGACTGTGGATTCTTGCTGTACCTTGTTGCCCTGGAAAATCCAAGTAGCTAGTTGACGAATGAGTGCTTGCTCGCTCTGCTCACCTCCTGTCGTTGCCATGTGTCTGATAGCAATATCACGATTGTCGTTGCTAGAGTCGATGACAAGTGTACTCATATCCACTCCTAGTGTACTGGTGTTACGATTACGTTCCGGCATCCTTCTCCTGGATAGTGAACATGCCAGTGATGTCTTCCCGACATCAGACTCACCAAGCAGTATGATACGTATGATCGGCACTTCAAGTTCACGTTCCGGCAAAATCTCCACACCTGTATCCATTTTAAAAGACACAAAACGAATGTAAAACAAGAAAAATTGGGGTTAAAGAATGTCCGTGAGGCAAGTGCCCTGGGGGGCAAGGTCAGTCTAAACGAGAGAGCTTGGAAGCTCAGGGCCCTACGCTATGCTTTTTTGCATTGATGACCTAGACACAAAAAGCATAGGGATGTTATAAATTCTTATAAATTGCTATTTTTTGTTTTTAGACATAACCTGGGATTCGAACCCGCACTTTCGCCCTGCATGCATCCCCCGATACACTTCGCATACATACTAATTCTTCCAAGTTGCTTCACGTTATGATCTTGTATTTGAAAGCCCTATTTGAATATGCATTGTGGCCAGCCGTCTTTGATTGTACGGTACGGTACGGGACAGGTACGGTCGAGGGTAATACTCCGCGGAGATTTCGAGCAAACTCCCGGAAATGTCACATTTTTGTCTTATCCAGGTTTTTCCTGAAACTCCAGTGAATCGCCTCCAATGTCTCAGTTTTTTCAAAAATATGTAATACACTTGCAATTCGAACTCCGCACTGCACTTTCAAGACCTGGCCAGTTTTGCATCGCAGGAGCGCTAGGCGTCCGCCGACTGATCGAACGGCAACACTGGAGGTGAGATCGAGCTACATGTAGGTCTTAGGTCGTTGAATGTTTCAGTAGCCTGTCAGTTTGGAGCTCTTGTTATCACACATTCTGCCGGACTGCTTAGTATTATTGTTACAACGGTCGATAGTTTCTTCATAACTCGTTCCCATTTTACATTAAATTTATTTTTAATACTTGCTCATAATCCGAGTTCAATAGCAACTAATTACTTGTGCTAGGATTACACCACTCTACAGCTTGCAAGGCTGATGAATTGACCACCACTAATAATTGTAGCCTGGTCTACACCACACAGCTGGTTGAACTCAAGTTGAAGTGGCTTTTTCTGGCCAATACACATGGTTAGCATTTTGTCGTTCAGGATATTTTCGACGGGTGGCCTGTCCCGTTTTTTGTGTGTGTAAATATGGTTAGCATTTTACCGTTCATACTAAATCCAATGATACTCGCACCCAACACCCAAAATACCGTCGGTTTGGTACCGTTTCGACGATAGAAAGCTCTGTTTAGCAAGAGGACAAAACGGTAAGATTCCAACTAGGGTTACGTCTAGGGGTCAAACGGGTGTACCGGGTACCCGAGTACCCGCCCGTTAATCTCAGGTACCGTTAGTAAAAGGGTACCCGTTTGTAAAAAAAAAAAAAAAAAAAAAAAAAAAAAAAAAAAAGGTGATCCTATCGTATTCCAAGACTCAAAAATTTAAATAGGAGTGCGGATACTCTTTTCCTTTTTCCTGTGCATTCCCGCTTTCGACTTTATCAGGAGCAGGCTGAAAGACAGACTTGACAGTTGTTCTCTCCACTCTAGTACAAGTAAAAATCCTCGTACTGGAGGTTTTTGATTGTGATGTGAGAAAATGCAAGACTTGAAACTCGTTCGAGGTGGCAGCTGAGTACTAGTAACTAGAAAGTTACGATGGTTCTCCGACATCGAACCTGCCACAGTACTTGATGAACTAGTGTCACCAGGCTGAGTGACCAGTCGGAGTGTCACACACGGTGATGTCCGTAGGTGGTAGCTACATGTATGATACTCATGGTTGTAGTTTGTTCCTTCAATCGACGAGCTGAAAAGTAGTTCGAAATATTGCATACAAGATTACGGATTTGTGAAGATTCATTTCACGAGTTCAACAAGCTAGCACTAGCAGCTAGCTGGCCAGCAGCACATCAGCTGTGTCAGGCACCCCAGCTAGCTATGGGTGCGAACATCTTCTGAATGCAACGCCTTGCATGGCTTGAATCACATCGATCTGCAGTTGATTTGCGTACATGTATCAAAATACATGTAGCTTGTAGGACCATCTACATGTACGATTGTAATTTACTGCCTGTGAAGTTATGTACATGGGCAAATGCACGGATGACATTCATTTGGAACCTTCATTGCCATAATAATATTATGATACACGAATCAATTGCGAATCATAATGTAGTATCAAAATACAACCTGAGAATATACAAATTTAAATTATGATTTATGTGAGAAATGCGCAAAAAAATAATATGGCTGCTAAAGGGTACCCGTTAACCCGCCCGTTAAGAAAATTACCCGTTCGTTAGTTAAAGGTACACCCGTTTGACCCCTAATTACGTCACAAGTCGATCATTGTGTCAGAAACCGAAATGCTAACCATATCTTGCAAACACACAAAAAAAGGTACTGGCCGACGTACGGTCGAAGTTGGCGTGAACGGTAAAATGCTAACGTTATCTACTGAATGATTGTTCCTAATCGATCACATTCACCTGCTTCCACGCCTTCATTTCACTCACCTTTTGTAGTAGCTCACACCGTCGGAACACTCTCACATCTTTTCTTCTAATTTCTTTCGTCTTCTCTCCCACTTTAGTTTTTTTCCTTTTCACACCTCACCTTGTATACTTCCCACTATCCGATAACTTATAAGTAGTTTGTCTCTCCGTATAGCCTCTATTGTGAGACGAATTTTCCCTGATGATAGTTTCAAGAAAATCGATTAGGAACAACCATTTTAGATACATGTATTCTCATTCATCATTTTGTAATGTCCGCTTCACTTATACTATTAATCGCATTAATAAAGTTATTGTCTCCTCGTCGCCTTTTCGTTATCTACTGAATCAAAAGGCAGACGAGCTACGCCCCAGGAGATAGGGCTTGAAAGTGCTACGTCACAGCATAGCAACAATTTCAAAAATTCAAAAATTGGATCCACTTGGATCCAGTTTTTGTATGGATCCAAGCACATTTCAAGTCGTCTTACTCACAGCAAGGTGATGAAACCAGTGGAACTGACTGATTTGGCTACTGGGGGCGGGGTTACAACTGGCGGCAAAGTAAAAGTCACCCCTGCATATGACATGAGTGGGTTGCTATGCACCCACATGCTGAGGCAATAGCAAAGTCACACCTTAGTGGATTCAAAATAGAAATCTGATGTCAACTTACTACTCCCTGGCCGTTTTTGACGTCATCACTTTCAATCCCTATTGTCACAAATAAATTACAATAAGGCATCAGTGCCCACCCTGTCCCATGGCCAAACATGTTGTTATACGCCTTTGGCAAACTCAGACCTGAAAAGATTATTCTTACCGCCCGTTGCATACTCCATGGTCCATGCCTTTGCACACGTGTTATACTTGGCACGATCTGTACTGTAGATACGAGCGATCTCGGGCACTAGCGGCATATCCAGAAGTGGATCATCGAGGATGGATTGGATAGACAGAAGGGTCATAAGAATTGTATATAAAGTAGACCATTCAGAAGTAAGGAAAGACAAGGATATGTTGCCGTGGCTGTCAATGTTGGGATGGTAGATTTTGGTCCGGAACCGTACTTCTGGTGGAATGAATGGATGATAGTGGTTCCAGCGGTATATCAGTTCAAAACGGCCACCTTGATACGGACTGCATGCTGGAGCCTGCATAGTGCAATCTACGTAGCAAAGATCATTCTCTGAAGATCTGATAGATAAACCCGGCGGTGGGCTTTCGATCATCTGCTTTACCTCGCCTTTTATTCGCTTCACGTTCATCATCGATGTCTGAAAGAAACAGTCTGCAACTTCTAGTCCACGAAAAGAAATGATTTCCAGAACTAGTCTATGCAACAAAATGAAAAAATACTACTATTATACTTTTTTTTGGGAGAAGAACTCACTCAGTTCGAACTAAGCCACTTCGAATGTTGTTGTTGTATACGTAGTCATGGTAGTGTTCCCGGCTGAGTAACTACATGCTGTAACAATAGTCATTGTAATGTTACTTACTATCGTCCAACGACGTGTTCCAAGTCCAGTGACGCTAGCAGCTAGCGGTGACTATTATTTTTGTTATTGGAATTGTTAGTTCCAGTAACAAGTTCCATGTGTGGAGAAGACTAAGTCTGATTTCTCCACTGCTCTAGGCAGCGTCTGCGCTGCTATGTTCTGCTCAGCTTCATTCAGCAAAAATAGACGTTATTACAGGAGCAGCTATTACCGAGTGGCAATGAAGTGTGATCGGCTTGTCCTCAAGGCCCCAAGTGTGCTTGTACACTACCACGACTGAGAACTGTGTAAGGAGTTATTATCGCCTCATGAGGCAAATTGTAAACCTGTGTTTACCGGACGCTGTACAAAGCGGAATCCAGTGTTCACCGTACAAATCAGTGTTTTGGACTGAAGTGCTGTTGATGGAACATGCACACCTGGATGAAGCGGAAGCCTATCATATCAGCCCGGGGTAATTTCCGCTGCACCAAGTACATGTACATCTGGTTGGGGCAAGATTTACTGTATTATTGTGCCAGCAGAACAATAGTAGAGCACACTGGCGTGGCGTTGAAGCGCATCAGGAAAGAGCTTGGCGATCTTCAGCAAGAGCCTCTCATACAATGTTCTGCTGGACCAGTTGATGATGATATGCTGCAGTGGCAGGCCGCCATGATGGGCCCGCCGGATACTCCGTATGAAGGTGGGTTGTTCGTCCTGACCATCCAATTTCCAGAGAACTACCCATTCCGTCCACCTAGAGTAAGGTTCAGCACAAGACTATACCACCCTGGAGTAAACTGTAATGGGAGCATGGACCTGGCAATCATGAGCTCATGGATATGGAGTCCGAGGACGACTCTTCGCGATATTCTCGTTAAGATCTACGACATGTTAGCCAATCCAGACGCTTGCCATTACTATAGAGTTGTACCATCTATTGAGAACGAGTATAATCGAGATCGTGTTCTGTTTGACCGGACGGCACGAGAGTGGACCAACAACTACGCAATGCCCATGGGTAAGAATTCAAACCATGGCAATAACACCCTGTAACCATGGTAATGACACCCTGTAACCATGGTGATAACACAGTCTGCACGCTCACCCTGTAATCATGGTATGTAGAGAGGTTGCGCACAAAGGAAATTCGTAAGATTTTGATCGTCCGGGTTCTAGTAACGGAAGTTGCTACGAAGATCCGTCCAAACGCGACCGAAACAGAGCAGATCTATGAAAATATTTTTCGTAACGCGGAGTACTAAAATACTTATATTTTACAACTCCCTCCCTGTCTTGACTCTCCTTATGAGCACCCGCGCGCGCCGCGTCGATGTGCTACGAATAAGTTTACATGTTGTGCGCAACCTCACGGTTTACGAATATTCATTCAATAGCTTCTTTCGTTAAAAATATTCGTCACCTGGCTACAAATTTTCGTTGTGTGCAACCTCTTATAACACCGTCTGCTCACTGACCCTGTCACCATGGTGATAACACCGTCTGCTCACTCACCCGTCACCATGGTAATAACACCGTCTGCTCACTCACCCTGAAATCATGTTAATAGAGGCGTTGCGCACAACTAGAATTCGTAAGGTCTTGGCCATCCAGGTTCGAGTAACGGAAGTTGCTACGAAGAGTCGTCCAATCACGACGGAACGGAGCAGATCTACGAAAAAATCGTTGCATGTGGTAGTAAAATTTTCCAGCTCCCTGTCTTGACTCTTATCGTACTGGAATGCGTACGACGAAAACGTTAACACGTTGTACGCAAACCTCACAGTTTACGAATATTCGTTACTCATTTTCTGTAAATAGGGGGGGGGGGGGGGGGGGGGGGTAATGAAAACATTCAAGGAACAAGTTGTTACACATGAAAACAAGATTTGCTAATGGTGTTTGTACTGAGTGCGCGGCTTACTCTATTCATTGCGGTAATAAAAATAATACAAAATTTCACGGTTCTCGTCAGACTCGGCTAGAGGCCGAGTTTTCCGCATCCGTAGGAACGCCTCAACCCTTCAAGTATCGAGGCGCAGATACAGCTCCTAAAACGGTGATATCTGTAAAACCGGAAAGTCTAACGAGACACAAAGTCTAACGTTTTAACGACCAATTTGTTTTCATTATTTGAAAAATACGTTATCGGTGGAGGTCTGTGTAAAGATGCGCATACAGATGGGTGGCCAGCAAAGCCATCGTTAAACTTTCTGCTCGTAATCATGCTAAAATTACAAAAACGTTAAATTTTTTGGTCGTTAAACTTTCCGATTTTGCAGTAGTGATGACCAATATCGAATGCGCACTCATATCACAGGCATAATTTTGTGGACAACTGTGTGAACTGGATCACGGTTTGCACGTAATCTCAGGGTCGCACGTTGACAAATGTTTTTGGTGTGGTCGTACTTTTTTTCCATTCTTGTTTGGAATACAGGTGTGGCGGTTGCCTCTGGACGCGAGCTTGGGGCTGGCGGGTAGAGCTGCGTTTCCGTCTTTCCGATACGTCTCTTGGCCAGGTATGTCCTATCTGTGTGTGTGTGTGTGTGTGTGTGTGTGTGTGTGTGTGTGTGTGTGTGTGTGTGTGTGTGTGTGTGTGTGTGTTCGAATCCGACAAATACAGTCACACATGTCTTTCTTCTCTTTCTCAGACTCCTCTTGACTAGTATGTGGTGTGATGTGTGTGCGTTGAAAAAAAATTAAAAAAACACCAAAAAGGAGGGATTCACTGGCCAGAAAAAGCAACTTCATAGCTGTGTGGTGTTACCAGGCTGAATAGTGGCGGTCAGTTCTTCAGCTTTGCAAGCTGTTGAATGGTGCAATCCCAGCACAAGTTGCTATGGCTTCTGCTGTAGCAACGCTATCATGGCCTCCGGAGATGGGCGTCAAATGTACCATGGTGTGTGTGCGTGTGTGTGTGTGCGCGCGTGTGTGTGTGTGTGTGTGTGTGTGTGTGTGTGTGTGTGTGTGTGTGTGTGTGTGTGTGCGTATGTGTGTATGTGTGTGTATGTGTGTGTGTGTCAAGGTACCGGTGCATCTAGTGTCTACTTCTATTAGAGCAGCATGCTGTCTATACTGGTTACTCCAGCAAGTGTATGGTGTGCATAGGTAACTGTCTTGGCCGTTTTATGCCGATGTACTCCGTGTGGTGTAGACCAGGTGTTCATTGGTGGTCGATTCACATGGCTTCCCAGGTTGTGTGGATTGGACAGTTATCTGGCGCAAGTCCTGATCTGTCTCATTCAGATCTTGTCCACTATCGTTGCTATAAGAGAAAATCTGAGGGTGCACATCAAGTATATTTTCAGATGTGCATGGTTCTCTTGCGACGGGTGATGCATGGTACATGGTGTATGGTGTGTGTGTGTGTGTGTGTGTGTGTGTGTGTGTGTATGTGTGTGTGTATGCGTGTGTGTTGTACGAACGGGCCTGCAGTCATGACATGACAGACTTGCTGTCGTCATACATGACCAATCACATGACTGATGACGTTAGCAACCAATAACTTCAGGGTATGTAGCTGCGAGCGGCGGGCCTCATCCTCCAAACATACAAAGAAAGATAGAGAGAGCTAGATGGAAAGAGATAGAGAGAGAAAGAAGAGAGGTTTTGCAGAGCGAACGTTCGCAATGATTTTTCGCGTTCCGGGTTGCGAAAACTATTGCGAACGTTCGCGCGAAATTCGTGTTTTGCATGTTTTTCGCTCTAATAAATTTTCGCGTGCACTCGCTAGTTTGAGAAGTGGTCTTCATCCAATTATTTTGTTGTTTCGAGTCACGGTCTGAGACGAGAGCTCTTTGACTACCTTGTCCATGGCCAGAAACCCACAGACAAACGGGTTGGATTGCGCCGTAATCTACACCTGAAATTCAAAAAGGCATCGTTGATGTAACCGACTCTGAGCAGTGAGAAGACGAGCAAGCAGGAGATCGAAGATGGTTCCGGAGATGAAGCAACACGGGCTGCCACAAGTATAGGAAAGCTAGCACCCGCGGACCAAGCCAAGAGTAGAGATCAAGCACAAACATGAGGATTGAGGGTGGCTCACCGTGCACGAACAGTCCACAAAGAGCGAAAATTGCTGCGAAAGTTTGCATGTTTCTCGCTCCCAGAAATATTCGTGTGTACTTGATTATTTATTTGTTTGTTGCGAGTGGCGGCACCCGCACCAGGTACCCTGATGGCCTGAGACGAGAGCTCTTTGGCTACGTTGTCCATGGCCGGAGACCCACAGACAAACGGGCCGGCTTGGCTTGTGCCAGAATCTTGCGGATCAACACCTGAGATTCAAAAAGGCATCATTGATGTAACCGACTCTGAGGAGTGAGAAGACGAGCAAGCAGGAGATATCGGAGATGGTTCTGGAGATGAAGCAACACGGGCTGCCACAAGTATTGGAAAGCTAGCACTCGCGGACCAAGCCAAGAGTAGAGATCAAGCACAAACATGAAGATTGAGCAATTTGAGGGTCGCTCACCGTGCACCTGGCTGACCAGCGGTCCGTAAAGATCGAAAATTTCTGCGAAAATTTGTTTCGCGTTTCCTGCAAGTTACTTTCGCGTTCAAAACTGCGAACGTTCGCACGAAGTTTCGCTTTTAGTGACGTCAAACGAAAATTCGCGCGAACGTTCGCTCTGCAAAACCTCTCTAGAGTGTGTGTGTGTGTGTGTGTGTGTGTGTGTGTGTGTGTGTGTGTGTGTGCATGTGTGTGTCCTGAGCTGGATATCTTGTTCCTGAAGGTATGCAATTTTCGTCACTTTGTTGTGTCAGGTGTGCCCAGCGCATCAATGCGGCTTCAAATGCTCAGCTTTGTGTTGTGTTATCAGGGACGTTTAGCAACACGAATACAAATCTTTTTTGGAGAAAGAAAGTTCTTCGAGGCCTAGAAACGAGAGCTCTGCTTTTGTCGATTAAACCCTATCTGTGCCATAGGTTTGAATTAGTGCACAGTAGTTGTAAACTAGAACTGTAGCTGTCTTTTCTCTCTGTCAGTATGCCAGTCTGTTTTTGTTAGTATTTTCTTGCCCATCCCAATGCCATTTCCTTGCATAGTTGACTTTTTTTTGAAATTTCAAAACACATCTACCCGGGTAACTGATCGTTCTTTATGTGTATGTGTGTTTTGTGTTTGTGTGTTTGTGTTTGTGTGTATGTGTGTTTGTGTATGTGTGTGTTGTGTGTATGTGTGTTTGTGTGTTTGTGTGTTTGTGTGTTTGTGTGTTTGTGTGTATGTGTGTGTATGTGTGTATGTGTGTATGTGTGTGTATGTGTATGTGTGTGTTTGTGTGTTTGTGTGTATGTGTGTTTGTGTGTTGTGTGTTTGTGTGTTTGTGTGTTTGTGTGTTGTAATGTTCACTGTACAGGAGTTCTTGAGATGTGAGTGTGGTGCGATGAACAGGGACGTACTCTGTACACTACATGGACGCGAAGACTGCTCCGCGTCATCTCCATCCGCGAACACTGTCACTGCGGGTGCCAGTGCTGCTACCATGGCTGCCAGTGGTCCTACCGCTGACACCGATTGCTCCATAGCTACTCGTTACCATGGTTCCATAGCTACTCGTTACCATGGTTCCATAGCTACTCGTTCCACTGCCACTTATTTATGCAGGTACTGCCTCTACCGGTGCTACTACTAGCGTTTCTACCGCAGTTACTGATGACTCCGCAGCTACTGGCCCCACAGCTACTGTCACCACAGCTACTGGCCTCACAGCTACTGGCCCCACAGCTACTGGCCCCACAGCTACTGGCCCCACAGCTACTGGCACCACAGCTACTGGCCCCACAGCTACTGGGCCCACAGCTACTGGCCCCACAGCTAATGGCCGCACAGCTACTGGCCCCAGTGTTGTTTCTGCGGCCTCTGGTACCGCTGCTGTTACTGCTGCTACTGGCGGTGGTTTGTCTGCAAAGCAGTGCTATCACACTGTTGCCGCTCTGAAGCTTGGCGATGTTCCCATGTGTCCCATTGCGTATACTGAAGGACGCACCGCACCTCAGCTTGTCTCCCAAGACGCTCTCCGGTTCTGGAAGTCATGGCAACAGGTATGCGTCGCGTGTGTGATTGACGTAATTATGTCTGCTTTAAAGCTACTGGTATACCGTATTGGACAGCAGTATCTTTATGTTGCCTCTTGAATGCATACTGCATGAAACTCAAGAGTTGCCACGAACTAGCCTTATGGCTTGTCGTTCGGTGTTTGCATCAATATTATCCCATGGTACGGTACGATGTGGGTGATTTCCGCAAATTCACGGCCGTTCTCTGCCAGGTATGTTCAGTGATATATCAGTACCCTGCTGGGTTTGCCTTGTTCAAAGATATACTCCGCTTGGTTCACACGGGTCACTACAAGAGTAAACTAGAGAACTTAGGGGGGTTAGTCACGCTCTCGATTTGGGACACGAACATGGGATGCCGTAATGTCGCGTATTATAGCCGGGCTTATTCCTGTACAAGCCGACCTCAGTGCTAGGCTTCTACTCACATCAGGCTTCTATTCGAGCTAGGTATTTCTATGTATGTCAACACTGAAACCAGGCTTTTCTGCTGCCAGTGTATCTTGAAAATCAGGCTTCTATTCAAATCAGGCTTGTATTCAAAACAGGCTTCTATATTAGACCGGCTTTAATACAAGACACTACAGTAAATGGACTATACCAGTCGTACTCTGTGTACACCGTGTCCCTCGTATTTTCCCTCGTGCTAACGTAACCGGCAACATATTCGTCGGTATACCCATCGTACTCATAGCATAATCCGTACTCAAAATCCTGTAATGGATTATTAATATTATTATTATTATTATTATTTTGCTTGTTCGAGTTGGCATCAACCTGCATAAAGCATAAAGCAGGTATATAGCCTTCGCTTAAGCTGCCATAAAAAAGAAAGCTCATCCTAAGCGAGAGGGCTAGAGGGAAATATAACGATAACGAGATACAGAATACAAAGAAGTCCAATGAGTTCAACATACAATTCAAAACAAGAAAGAAAGCCGAATCTACCGATTGATCCATCAATCGACAAAGGGGATTAATTTGTTAATGTTGCAAAGTAGAAGCTGATTGTAGTTGCAGATCTCCAGGCCAGGGCCAGCATATTGCCGACTCTGGATAGTGGATAAAGTTTTTAAATTGCTCTTTTGTGAGGAGTCTGATGAGACATGAAAGTCGTTACGTCCGTGCAGATGACAGAAGCAGGGGAAAACTAAGCACAGTTGTGTCCTGGATCCTGGTCATTAGGGTATTGCGTGTTGTGTTGTTATCCAATATCCTATTCGCTATGGTATTGTGTGTGTGTGTGGTGTTATCCCAGATCCTGTTCACTATGGTATTGTGTGTGTGGTGTTGTTATTCAGGATCCTGGACATTATGGTATTGTGTGTCTGCCCAACATAGGTAGTTCAACATCCGTCAGTGCAGCAGAATAATCCCCATCACCACCATCAACACCAGCTCCTGACGATCTTACCGAATGGAAATACAGGTACAAGTTGGTATCTGTGTGCGTGTGTTTGTGTGTGTGTGTGTGTGTGTGTGTGTGTGTGTGTGTGTGTGTCTGTGTGTGTGTGTGTGGGGGGGGGGTGTCTCCGTGAGCGGGGGGGGGGGGGGGGGGGGGGTGGGGGGGGGGGGGGGGGTGGTAGGGGTTGTGGAGCGTCCCAGAGTTTCTATTCACCATCATTCATTCCTCCCATAGCTACATGACTGCCAGTAATCGTGTGGGTGGAGACCTGCTTGCGCTGATTTGTGTTGAGAATGGCTTGCGGCAGGGCTGCACTATGTACCCCGTTTTATTCCCGTAGCTATGCAGAAGACGTTACTTCAGTAACGTCTGGCGCTAGCCAGGGTCCAAACAGCTTTAATTATTTTGGTATTTATTCCCGTAGCTATGCAGAAGACGTTACTTCAGTAACGTATGGCGCTAGCCAGGGTCCACACAGCTTTAATTCCCGTAGCTATGCAGAAGACGTTACTTCAGTAACGTCTGGCGCTAGCCAGGGTCCACACAGCTTTAATTTGGTGTTTGTTTGTTTGTTTGTTTGTTTGTTTGTTTGTGTCACGCCTGGCGCTATCCTGTATCTGTCCCGTACCGTACCGTACCAACAAAGACAGCTGGCCACAATATTTTTGTTTGTTTGTGCCATCGGCATGCCTGGCGCTATCCCGTACCTGTCCCGTACCATCAAGTGTACGGTACCATCAAGAGAATGAGTATATATGCGAAGTGTATCGGGGAATGCATTTAGTGCAGTACCATTTTGTGTGGATTTGTGTGCGAGGCCGAGATCCCACTAGCAGGCTGGCTGGGCCGCCTGTCGAACAGCCCGGGAATCGCATGTAGGCCGATAGCATAATAATTATAACGTGTATACAGTCATGTAGATGTATAGCAGGGAGTCATATTATGTAAACGACTCCCTGCTGTATGGGGAGATTTTCTGGAAAGAAATACGAAGTAGGGAGACGAGTAAATGCAATTAGAATGGATGTTAGTTGCCGTCAGTATAATAAGAAGAAGAAGACGAACGCCCGTGGTCGGCAGAGTCAGCGCCGGTCCCAGGAAACGGCAGGACAGACATCCCGTCGACTCCAGAACGCCCGTGATCGGCAGAGTCAGCGCCGGTCCCATAGCTATGCAGAAGACGTTACTTCAGTAACTCATTGAAACGTTTTTGCAATACAATGAAGTAGCTAATCAAAGGAAAAAACGTTTCCATCAGTTCTAACAACATGCACGATGAGCTAGGCAACAAAGCATAGCGCAGGGCCCTGAGCTTCCAAGCTCTCTCGTTTGGTATTTGTTTGTGTGTTTGTTTGTTTGTTTGTTTGTTTGTTTGTGTCACGCCTGGCGCTATCCGTATCTGACGGCAAAAAGCATAGGATGTTATAAATTTTTCAATTCTCCTAATTTTTTCAGGCATATCCTGGGATTCGAACCCGCACTATCGCCCTACATGCATTCCCCCATAAACCTCGCATTCATACCCATTCTTCCAAGTTGCTTCACGTTATTATCTTGCGTTTGAAAGCCCTATTTGAATATTGCGGGAAGCTGTATGTGGCCAGCTGTGTTTGATGGTACGGTACGGTACGGGAGACGGTGTCGTATTACCCTCGATCGTACCTGTCCCGTACCTATCCCCTACCATACCGTGCCATCAAAGACGGCTGGCCACAATGCATATTCAAATAGGGCTTTCAAATGCAAGATCACAATGTGAAACAACTTGGAAGAATTAGTATGTATGCGAAGTGTATCGGGGGATGCATGCAGGGCGGGCGATAGTGCGGGTTCGAATCCCAGGTTATGTCCTAAAAAAGGATTTTTTAAAGAATTTATAACATCCCTATGCTTTTTTCAATGTGAAACAACTTTAGGGTTCACGGCTTGCCACTAAAAGCACCCGTCACGTGCGCCTCCATTTTGGATTATGGACGCGCGCTACAGGCCGCGACAGCGCCTATCGAAGTAAAAAAATATCGACTCGAAGTCTAGCCGGAGAGCGTACTTTTTGAATTTTTCCTTGGCTTCAGTGGCTTCACTTCACTCGGGCTTTGCATTTTTCTGACTGACCTGGACTTGATGATGGCGGCGGTGGCGGTCTTGGCGAAAGATCCAGTTCCATCTGAGACACTCTGTCGTCTTTTCTTATCTGCTGAGGTTCTGGCAAAGCGCAGCTGCATCGAACCTGACTAGATGTAGCTGCACGCATCCTTTGTTTGCCCTGCAAATCTCGATCTGTTGCTCTTCTTGCTGTTTGGCCGCTGATGCCATGGAAGAAAATATTCTTCCTGTAAAGAGGCCGAAACTGAGCTAGGGCACGTCAAGATATGCAGGGTATACAAAGAAAAAGAAACGTCATGGTCGTTTCAGCAGCTCACGACAGCCAACACGCTCCATCGTCGGGATTGGAAGTATCCAGCACGGCTGTTCCGAGCGCTGCTGCTCTTGTTATTCTTCTTCTTCAGAAATTCTCCACACCTTGTCGGCCAAAGTACGCGCGCGCGTGCACGGAAAATAGATGCGCTGAGCCGTTTCTTGTTCGATTTTGACAAATAATGGCTTGTTGTTTTGCTCTCGACCTTGGCTATCCTTCTACCGTTCAGTATTTTACGGAAACGCAACGGCTCCCCCTGTTTTTTTAGCCGAACTTTGGCCAAAGTTACTGGAAAACCCGGAACTCGTTTGAAAAAATACGAACGGTGGAAGTCTTGGAACGTCTTTCGTGCGTGTGGATTCAAAAATTCAGGCAGTTTGAGCCAACCGTAATGAATCCCGTAGAGTTGAAAGTGAGTGATATTGATGGGAAAATGCGATTTGAGCACTGACCGATTGTGTGGGACATGACATCGATAGTATATGCACGCGCCTGTCACGTGCATGATGTAGCTGGCGACGCTAGCATGCCAATCCGTGAACCCTAAACTTGGAAGAATTAGTATGTATGCGAAGTGTATCGGGGGATGCATGCAGGGCGCGCGATAGTGCGGGTTCGAATCCCAGGTTATGTCTTAAAAAAAGGATTTTTTTAGAGAATTTATAACATCCCTATGCTTTTTTTTTGTCTACATGTAGGTCATCAAGGCAAAAAAGCATAGCGTAGGGCCCTGAGCTTCCAAGCTCTCTCGTTTGGTATTTGTGTGTTTGTTTGTTTGTTTGTGTCACGCCTGGCGCTATCCCGTATCTGACGGCAAAAAAATCATAGGGATGTTATAAATATTTCAATTCTCCTATTTTTTTTTAAGGCATATCCTGGGATTCGAACCCGCACTATCGCCCTACATGCATTCCCCCATACACTTCGCATTCATACCCATTCTTCCAAGTTGCTTCACGTTATGATCTTGCGTTTGAAAGCCCTATTTGAATATTGCGGGCAGCTGTATGTGGCCAGCTGTGTTTGATGGTACGGTACGGGAGACGGTGTCGTATTACCCTCGATCGTACCTGTCCCGTGCCTATCCCTACCGTACCGTACCATCAAAGACGGCTGGCCACAATGCATATTCAAATAGGGCTTTCAAATGCAAGATCATAATGTGAAGCAACTTGGAAGAATTAGTATGTATGCGAAGTTAATCGGGGGATGCATGCAGGGCGCGATAGTGCGGGTTCTAATCCCAGGTTATGTCTTTGAAAAAAGGAATTTTTTAAAGAATTTATAACATCGCTATGCTTTCTTTTGTCTTGGTCATCAAGGCAAAAAAGCATAGCGTTGGGCCCTGAGCTTGCAAGCTCTCTCGTTTATTTGCTTGTTTGTTTGTGTCTTGCCTGGCGCTATCCCGTATCTGTCCCGTACCATCAAACACAGCTGGCCACAAACAGCTGGCCACAATATTTGCTGGCTCCCGTATCTGTCCCGTACCGTACCATCAAACACAGCTGGTTACAAACAGCTGGCCACAATATTCGTCGTATTATGTATACGACTCTTTGATGTATAGGGAGATTTTCTGGAAAGAAATAGGGAGACGAGTAGGAAATGCGATTAGAATGGACGTTAGTTATCGAATAGGTGATAGGATGCGTCAACAAAAACATACTTTGGAAGAGAGATCCCGTCGTCTCCAAAATAAGCGTGAACGGGCGAGTCAGCGCCGGTCACAGGAAACGTCGGAAGAGACATCCCGTTGACTCCAGAACGCCCGTGATCGGCAGAGTCAGCGATGGTCCCAGGAAACGTCAGGACAGACATCCCGTCGAATCCAGAACGCCCGTGATCGGCAGAGTCAGCGCAGGTCCCAGAAAACGTCAGGGCAGACATCCCGTCGACTCCAGAAAGACCGTGATCGGCAGAGTCAGCGCCGGTCCCGTAGCTCTGCAGAAGACGTTACTTCAGTAACTCATTGAAATGTTTTTGCAATACAATGATGTAGCTTATCAAAGGAAAAAAACATTTCCATCAGTTCAAACTCCCCACGATAGGCGATCAGCCTTTGGGTCATCCTAACGAGAGAGCTAGAAAGCTCAGGGCCCTACGCTATGCTTTTTTGCCTTGATGACCTAGACAAAAAAAAAGCATAGCGATGTTATAAATTCTTTAAAAAAATCCTTTTTTTAAAGACATAACCTGGGATTCGAACCCACACTATCGCGCGCCCTGCATGCATCCCCCGATGCACTTCGCATACATACTAATTCTTCCATTAGTTGTTTCACATTGTGATCTTGTATTTGAAAGCCCTATATATTTTGAATATGCATTGTGGCCAGCCGTCTTTGATGGCACGGTACGGTAGGGGATAGGTACGGGACAGGTACGATCGAGGGTAATACGACACCGTCTCCCGTACCGTACCGTACCATCAAACACAGCTGGCCACATACAGCTGCCCGCAATATTCAAATAGGGCTTTCAAACACAAGATAATAACGTGAAGCAACTTGGAAGAATGGGTATGAATGCGAAGTGTATGGGGGAATGCATGTAGGGCGATAGTGCGGGTTCGAATCCCAGGATATGCCTGAAAAAAAAATAGGAGAATTGAAAAATTTATAACATCCTATGCTTTGTTGCCGTCAGATACGGATAGCGCCAGGCGTGACACAAAGAAGCAAACAAACACACAAACAAATACCAAATTAAAGCTGTGTGGACCCTGGCTAGCGCCAGACGTTACTTAAGTAACGTCTTCTGCATAGCTACGGGAATAAAGTAACTAACTAACAATGTGCTCGATGAGCTAGGCAACAAAGCATAGCGTAGGCCCTGAGCTTCAAAGCTCTCTCGTTAATCTTTACATGTGTGCAGTCTTTGAGAGATATTTCTGCTGGTGATTATGCGCTAGGGATTACACTCGCCCAGCTTCGGAGAGAGCGGCATTTCAGCTTTCAATGCTAGATTGGCAGAGCATCGCAGAGTTTGGCTAACTGAGTGTCACTTTGCTGTTGATCTGTCCCTGCTTGGGGTCACGCATGCTGGTGCTGAGAGGGCCCTAGCCTCGTTCAGGGATGTAGCTGGTCCATTGGGGCCTTTGTGTCAATTGTTATCACTGTGCGGTCCTTTGTTTATGATTGTTTGTGTGCTCTAGCAAGAAGACTTTGCGGCAAGCTGATCGTTTCGACTTGGCTACCCGTTTGAAGAAGGAACTAAACAATGAACAACGAGGTACGTATTTTACTGGTCATTCGAATGGTGGCAAAACGAGGACTCTACCAACCGGGTTATGGTTGTAGGCAGGAACACTGTGCGTCCTCGCCTTGTAGCATGCTGTCGAAATCGAAAACATGTTAAACTATGATGTTCATCCCTCTTGTTGAGCTCTCTATGTATTTTTTTTTTGTGCATGTTCTTTGTTGTTCTCCACAGTGGTGTACTCTTCATATTCCGACTAGAGGCTGGGTCTGTGCATGCTTTTTACCATCTCTCCTGCCTATGCTGGCTGGTCAGTTGGATATCTCCTGCTCTGGCTGGTCAGTTGGATATCTCCTGCTCTGGCTGGTCAGTTGGATATCTCCTGCTCTGGCTGGTCAGTTGGATATCTCCTGCTCTGGCTGGTCAGTTGGATATCTCCTGCTCCTACGCCAGGTGTGCTGGCTGTTCTAGTAGGAGCGCTGGCTGTATTCGCTGTGCTAGCTGTGATGGTTGCGTTTGCTGTGCTGGATGTACTGACTGCGCTTGCTGTGATCTGGTCATAGCTGTGCTAGGAGCACTGGCTGTGCCCGATGCAATGGCTGTGATGCTTGTATTGTCTGCACTGGCTGTGGTCTGGTCATAGCTGTGCTAGGAGCACTGGCTGTGCCCGATATGATGGCTGTGATGCCTGTATTGGCTGTGCTGGCTGTGATGGTGTGTATTGGTGGTATTGGCTGTGCCCGATGTGCCCAATGTGCTGGCCTACTCTTTATCACCATGGCAATAGCGATGCCCTGGAGGCAGGTGGACTTTCACAAGTAGTTTATAGTGGAGATTCTGTTGCTATCGTCTTGATCATCTTATTACTTTCACCCTGATGGTCGGATTTGCTGGAAATTTTGGTGAATACACTTAGTGACGTATGCAGCGAAGAGATTTGCTTGGAAGCTAAAATCTGGGTTCGTTGAACTCTTCGTGTTTTGACCAAATCGTTTCTTACAGCTCACGTAAATGTTCTGCATTTCACCAACTGTTGGATCCCATGTTGATGTAGAGCGGCTGTTAGCTTAACACTTTGAAAAACTTGAGATTACTTGTATATTCTTCGTTTCCCCACTCTCACACACACATGCATGCTCACAGTCAATCCTGTAGTCATGAGTTCTATTCGGAACAGATACGAGAATAATAACAATAATAATATTCTTCCACTGCTGGCATGTCTATTGTGTCCAGCGTGTCACACACTAGTCGAGTGACTACTTATCTAGTGCGGTTGGTGGCGTGATGATTATGACTGGTGTAATTATAATAATGTGGTTGGTGGCGTTATGATTATGACTGGTGTAATGCGGTTCATGGCTTGATGATCGTGACTGGTGTAGTGTGGTTGAAGACTTGACGGTTCAGACTAGTTGGACATGGTTGTGTGTGTGTGTGTGTGTGTGTGTGTGTGTGTGTCCCATATGGTGCAGTGGTATGTGCAGCGATTTCCAATCGATAGATTGCGGTTCAATTCTCGACGATTATGGTCACACACGTCTTTCTTCTCTTTCTCAGACTCCTCCTGACTTTTCTTTCATTCTCCTGGGTGGTTACCAACAGCCAGTGCATGCCGGAGTATGTGGTGTGATGTGTGTGCGGGAAAAAAACTGAAAAAGACCAAAAAGTAGGGATTCACTGGCCAGAAAAAGCCACTTCATAGCTGTGTGGTATAGACCAGGCTGAATAATAATAATAATAATAATAAACACAGCTCGCATCTTCCCTGAACCTGTTAGACAGGAGCAGAGTCGACGCATCTGTCAACAGTGTCAAGCCAAGTTAGTCTATCTCCTGCAGCTTGGAGAGCGCTCTCCACGGAGAGATCCGCTGCCTTCAGGTCGTGCCGAATCGTATCTATCCACCGCAATGGCGGACGGCCACGGGGTTTTTTTTATGTCGTTTGTGTTGATTGATAGCTCCAGTGCTTGGAACGAGGCGGATTCCGGACCCTCTCGCACCACATGGCCAAACCACAGCAGCCTGCGTCGCCGACATGTGGCACTAACTGGAGATTGTTTTGTTTCTGTGTATAAGTTGTTATTGGTGATGCGTTGCGGGTAGACAATCTGCAGCAGTACGCGTAGCTTCCTCCGTTGCCATTTGTCCAGTTTGTCGTTCAGCAATTTGGACAGAGTCCACAATCCGCAATTGTATAGAAGGATCGGCATTATGAGGCAGTTAAACATACACAGTCGGGATTGAAAGGAATGCCGTCTCCAAGAAATCGAACCAAACGCCCTGTTTGCTTTTGAGATTCTCATGTCCACGTCTTCTGCAGAGCCCAATAGAGAACCCAGGAGTTTGACCAGGCTGAATAGTGGCGGTCAATTCTTCCGCCTTGCAAGCTGTTGAGTGGTGCAATCCCAGCACAAGCTGCTATAGCTTCTGCTGTAGCATCGCTATCATCGCCTCTGGCGATGGGCGTCCAATGGTCCAACGGTGTGTGTGTGTGACCGTGGCATAATAATGTATTGTATTGTATGTGTGGTGATGCCTGATGGTGTTGAAAACCAGTACATGCATACGCAGTAGAACCATGCATTGAGCTGGCCTATACGGGAGCATCAGTCGCAATGAACTTCCACCGGTTTCACATTACATGAACTGTTATGTACTATAATTATAATCAAGAAAAATAAACAAGAGTATGTTACTGTGACCTCTAGTCTATGGTCAAGATGCGCGGCACGCTGGCTTCATTACATCATTCAGCTGCAGTATGATATGAGCACTGCGTAACATGCGCCCAAAACTTAGAGATCGACTGGGTACCCGAGCGAATGGAGCAACACCGTACGCGATGGAGGCAGGAGTAAATTTTGGAGCTCCTGCTCCATCCATGTTTTCTTTCAAAGTATCGAAAGATTGGCCTTCTGACCATAACTTTTAAAAGTTTATACTGCAGGAACTGTCTGGCAATTCCTTAACTTAAACGTGAAAGAGTCTGTCAAGCAGATTGATCTGCATGGGAAACCTGGTTGGTGCCAAGTCACACTTTCAAGTAGAGCTCAGCGCGAGACGGTTTTGAGCAAGGGACTTTGCATACGAGGTGAGCAGTTGGAACTGCATCTCCCCGACGAGGGCTCCACTCAGCTCCATGTGTTTGGTTGCCGTGTCGGAATGCCTGATGGCCCACTTTCGGCATCTTTGTCGGTTTTCGGCAAGCTCATTGGTCCGCCATCACACGGCAAGATCAGCTTCGAACGCACGTCCTTCAAGACAGGAATCAGGTACGTCAATATCGTACTGTCTAAACCCGTACCGTCGTGTGTGACCGTTGTTGGGAAGAGAAAGTTGCGGGTGTGGCACAGGGGGCAGACCCAGACGTGCTGGCGCTGTGGCACAACGGGTCATGAAGCACGAGAGTGTAAAGTAAGGGCGGGCAGAGAGCCTGAAAGTTCAAGTCGTACTAACAGTAACTCTAGTTCTGAACCTTCAGATTCTGTACCTCGTGATTTTTTTCAAACTTTGGAGCAGGGTGCAGGTTTTCGCGCTCTGAGGCTCCCACAGTTTCTCGCCAGGGAACCGGCATCAGGCCGGCCTGGTTTCAAACATTAGGTATAGTAGTAGTAGTAGGAAACTAGGTAGACATCGGATAGCTTTGGCCCACCTCCGCCATGCCTCCAGCAAAAGCTGCCGTTCGCGGGCTGACGGATTCGGAGGTAAAATTGTTGTGCTCCCTCCCCGGGATCGAGTCTTCGATTTTAGACGTAGTAAAGACGCTGGCAACATTTGTGACGGAGTCCGCAGACCGCGAGACACGACTAAAGAATAGGACCGATGATTTATCGAGGCAAATTGCAGGCCTGAACGAGGAGGTTGTCGCCCTCAGGGAGTCCGCCATTGTCGCAGCAAGTGCTTCTCCCCTGACTCCTCCAGCAGTTGCCCACAACCAGCACAGCCAGCGTACGATGGAGAGTACAGCGGGAAGGACCAGCAAGCGTACCCGTACTCGCGCAGGCCAGGCTGCCACGTGTACCACTGATGCAGACGAACACCGTAGCACTTCCCGTAGCGTGGGTGACCCTGCCAGTGACCATGAAACGTCAACGGAGGATGAGGACAAGTCCCAGGCAATTGAGCGGCCCACTGTCAAGCCCAAGCCACTGAAGCTAGAGCCAATCACGGATGACACGTGGAAACTGGTATCAAACGAACCTCACAGAGTGAAGAAAGCCGTAATCTATGTGGGCAATTTGAACTCACATAGCAGTGAAGAAAGTGTCAAGGAATTCACTGAGCAACGCTCTGCAGCAGTAAACAAACCGGTGAAGGTTCACCAGTGCAGCATACACACCACAGAAGATGGGAAAGTGTCTGCCCGCTTGATGATCGATGCGACTGACCTTGAAATCGCCACTGCTCCAAACTTTTGGCCTCGCCCACTGTACGCGCGGGTTTGGCGCCACCGTGAGCGTCTGAAGGGGGACACCTTGTCCGGCTCACACAGTGACACTCTCAGTGATGCTCCAAAGGGGGACACCTTGTCCGGCTCACACAGTGACGCTCTCTCCGAGTCCTCCGACACTCAAGCTCAAAGCTCCAATTAGATCCTTTCGGATCCTGCTGACGAACACATTTGGACTACTGAGTAAACTTGGTGACTTTCACCATGCTGTACACGTTCACCAACCTGACATTGCCATTGTCACAGAGAGCAAGCTAACCCCTGAGAAGGCTACTGATTCCGAACTGTCCTTGCCTGGGTACTACTCCCCACTGCGGAAGGATCGAACAGCTCATGGAGGAGGTGTTGCGGTTTGGGTTAAAGCCAGTCTGGCCCTCCGAGAACTCGATGACATCCAGGTCGGTAATGAGGAGCTAATATGGCTGAGTGTCAGAACTGTGGATAAGAAGTCAGTGGCTGTGTGTGCTGCATATCGCTCTCGCTCCTGCCACGACAATGACATCAGTACCCTTGAAGCCATCAGTGCTGGCATAGACCTGGCCCGTAAATCTTGTCAATATGTGGTATTGGCTGGAGATTTTAACGTACACAACGTGGATTGGCTCGGCAGCACCAAGACAACTCATGCAGGTGTGTACACTGAAGACATGTGTGCTTTTCACTGCTTGGAGCAGCACGTGCATGAGCCCACCAGAGGCCTTAACCCACTCGACTTAATAATGACTGACCTACCGAGAGATGCGACCGTCAATACCTTAGCACCTCTGGGAGACTCTGACCATGCCTGTGTCCTAGCTGACTTTCATGTAAGCACAGCAGAGGAACCACCAGTGACCAGAACGGTCTGGCGTTACCAACGCGCAGACTGGGACAGACTCTGCCACTTCTTTAGAACAACAGATTGGCAGTCCACTGTCAGTGATGATCCTGATGCAATGTGTATGCACTTGACCCAGAATATTCTGGAAGGAATGCGCCGATACATACCGTCTAAGCAGTTGTGCATGAAACCATCTAACCCCTCTTGGTGGACACCGGAATGCACTGAGGCTGTAGCACAGAAACAAAGAGCATGGAGGAGACTCTGCGCCGACCGGTCAAGTGCCCAGCTGCAAGCCCGTTACAATGTCGCCAAGCACTCGGCTAACCATTGCCTGGCAACTGCCAAGCAGGCATTCACAGCAAGCCTGGCGCAGAAGTTAGCCTCTGGGTGTATGGCGTCTGGTGAATGGTGGTGAACCATCAAGAAGGCCTCTGGCCACGGAAACAGCCCATCCATACCTACTCTCCGCAGCACCGATGGTACGGAGCACGACACCAACCGCAGCAAAGCAGAGTGCATGGCCGAACACTTCGCCAACAAATGCAGTCTAGGGGCAGACGACCTATCCGCTCCATTTCCTTACGTCCGACCACGTACTGACCGCAACCTCTGCACCGTCCGGTTTCGCGAAACCACAGTCGAGCGAACTCTCCGCCAGCTCAACCCCACCAAGGCCACTGGTCCAGATGGGATACCTGCCCGCGTCTTGAAAGCTTGCTCTGCAGAATTGGCACGGCCGCTTTCAAAACTATTTACATGCTGTCTTCGCTCCGGTATCCAGCCACAACAGTGGTTGCAAAGGTTGCAAACGTGGTTCCAGTCCACAAGCGCAAGTCTAAATCGTCGCCATCAAACTATCGACCAGTGTCGTTACTGAGCATCCTCTCCAAGGTCATGGAGACCATAGTCAACAGGGCAATGAGCAACTTCATGGAGACGAATCACGTCCTGTCAGAACGGCAATTTGGATTCCGTCGCGGCCACAGTGCAGCAGACCTGCTGACTGCTCTCCACCACCAGTGGGTGCACACCGCCGGAGATAAAGGAGCTTCTCGAGTGCTGGCCATCGACATTGCTGGAGCATTTGACCGGGT